AAAACGACTTGTTTGGTTGTAGGATGTTGTTGTGCTTTGTTGTTAAATGTTAAATATTTTCTGTTTTAAATATTCAATGGAGCAAAACGGTGTTTAGTCAGCCATCAATTGCGAAGGTTTTCCCACTTTAAAATGATGAGGCCTTTAATTTTCATCATAGGTAGAACTCAACTATGGGAGATAAAATAAAAATATCCAGAAAATCACTTTGTCTGATTTTTAAAGTATTTATTTGCAAATTATGGTAGAAAATAAGAATGTGGTCAATAACAAAAGTCCATCTCAATACTTTGTTATTGACATTTTCTGTTACAAGGTTTTCACACACTGTTGCAGGTATTTTGGCCCATTCCTCCATGCAGATCTACTCTAGAGCAGTGGTGTTTTGGGTCTGTTGCTGGGCAACACAGACTTTCAACTCCCTCCAAAGATTTTCTATGGGAATGAGATCTGGAGACTGGCTAGGTCACTCCAGGACCTTGAAATGCTTCTTACAAAGCCACTCCTTTGTTACCCCGGTGATGAATACCCTTGCTGGTGGAAGGAGGTTTTCACTCAAAATCCAACGATACATGGACCTTTTCATTTTTTCCTTCACGAGGATCAGTTGTCCTCAACCCTTAGAAGAAAAACAGCCTCAAAGCATGATGTTTCCACCCCCATGCTTTACAGTAGGTATGGTGGTCTTTGGATGCAACTCCGCGCTCTTCCTCCTCCAAACACGACAAGAAGAGTTTTTACCTAAATATTGTATTTTAGTTTCATCTCATCATATGACATTCTCCCAATTCTCTTCTGGATCTTCCGAATGCACTCTAGCAAACATCAGATGGGCCTGCGCCTGCGTAGTGTGTTACTCATGGTAGCCTTTGTAACTTTGGTCCCAGCGCTCTGCAGGTCATTCGTTGAACTTCCTTCAGTTAAACTCTCTTTCATTTGTTTTATGGTATTTTATAATTTCATGACTCTATTTTTCTGACTTTACTCTATTTCTGTTTTAAGATCATTATGATTTCATGACTTTGTTTTATTTTGTTTGGATCTATATGACGTGCTTTGTGATTCTGTCTGTGATGAGTGCTATATAAATAAAATGTACTTACTTTCTGATCATTGCTTCCACAGTTGATTTCACCCACCAACCTGCTTACCTGTTGCAGATTCAATCTTCCCAGCCTGGTGCAGGTCTATATTTTCTTTCTGGAGTCACTTGACAGCTCTTTGGTCTTGACTAGTGGAGTTTGGAGTATGACAGTTTGAGGTTGTGGACAGGTGATAGCCAGTTCCAACAGGTGTCCTTAATACAGGCAGGGGTGGACTGGGATCAAAATTTGGCCCTGGCATTTTTATGAACCGTCGGCCCTCGGCAGGGGAGTTTGCTGCTTGCGACTCGTCTATCCCGCCAAATGTGGGGGGAGGGACGGGGTGTTGTGTATGCTGCTCGCAGACTTGTCTCTATTGTCGCATGTGAGACGGAGGCTTGGTTTGGGACGGCCCAAGCTGGGCAAGTGGCCCACTTGACTAAGCGGCCCACTGGGATAGTGCCAGATTGCCAGTCCACCCCTGAATACAGGTAACGAGTGGACAGAGAAGCCTCTTACAGAAGACGTTACAGGTCTGTGAGAGCCATAATTATTGCTTGTTTGTAGGAGACCAAATACTTATTTTTCACCATAATTTGCAAATAAATTCCTTAAAAATCAGTGTGATTTTTTTGATTTTTTTTTCATTTTGTCTCACAGTTGAGGTATACCTGTGATGACAATTATAGGCCTCTCATCTTTTTAAGTGGAAGAATTTGCATGATTGGATGTTGACTAAATAGTTTTTGCCCCACTGTACGATGTTTTAACAAATTAAGCAGACAGAATAGTTCGATCTGCCAACCTTGCTTCCTTAGAGGAGATTCCCTCGATACTCCTCCTGTTGAGTAACGTGTGTGTGTGTGTGTGTGTGTGTGTGTGTGTGTGTGTGTGTGTGTGTGTGTGTGTGTGTGTGTGTGTGTGTGTGTGTGTGTGTACAGTTCTGCCTCCTTTTGCTCTGTGGTCCTCCTATGTTCTGTCTCACTTTCTGAGATCAGCAGACCAGATGCTGTTGATGGTACCAGGTAATCTTTTGGGGAAAATAGATTTTACAATTACAATTTCAAAATTGTGATAAGCCAATAAATACTAACAGTCATGCGACAATTTATCACTTAAAAATAATTCAGGCAGCACTGAAAGACAAACTTACATGGAGGAACAAACCCACGCCTCATCAAAACTAACCGGAGTGAAGAAGGATTACAGTCCACACCTGGTCCAAGATATGAAAGGTCACCAGCATGATATCACTAAGGGTTGTGAGAATACATAATGGAAATTTACGGACTAACTTGGCTGCAGCATCAGAGAAATCATAGTTGTAACTTCAGTCTGGTCAGAGGAGACAGGAGCATCTGTGGTGGAATTATTGTTGTGTGTCCATGTACATGTGTGTGTGTGTGTGCATGTGTGTGTGTGCATGTGCATGCATGCGTGTGTGTGCGCGCATGTGTGTGTGCATGTGGATACATGCGTGTGCATGCATGTGTGTGCATGTGCATGCATGTGTGTGTGTGCATGTGCATGAATGTGTGTGCATGTGCATGTGTGTGTGTGCATGCATGCGTGTGTGTGCGCGCATGTGTGTGTGTGCATGTGGATACATGCGTGTGCATGCATGTGTGTGTGCATGTGCATGCATGCATGTGTGTGTGTGTGTGTGTGCATGTGCATGCATGTGTGTGTGTGTGTGTGCATGTGCATGCATGCATGCATGTATGTGTACAGGGTACCCATTACACAAAGGCTTCGGTGTGAACCCAGTGGGGGGGGGGGGGGGGGGGGGGGGGGGGCACACAATCGTAGCTTAATTATATTTTTTTGGAGGTGGCGACACTTTGAGGATGTTACTGTGGCCTTGTGCACGATGCAGCTGCGTAAAGGGCATCAACGCTCAGCTCTCTCAAAAGAATCCCCACATAAATAATATAATATGAGTGGAGCCAGGATCTTTGTTTGGGCTCCCCCTGGGTGTGTAAGTTGAGGGCATACAAGGGAGCTTGTCACCCTTTCGGGTGAGTCGGGCTCCCCTTAGACTCCCCCGTAATTCAAACCCTGTGTGTGTGAGGCTTTACCTGCAGTTGAAACAGTTTGCTGGTTCCTTCAAACATTTGTTTTCCAACAGACTTTTTATCTGCACCACATGAAACAGTCATGGAAGAGCTCCTGAAGGCCTCGTTTGGCCACTTCAGCCATGCTTTGCAGCGGTAAGAAGGTGATTATAACTTCATATTTTAACATACGGCCCTTTTTTTATGTAAAAGTGTGCATAAAATATTGAAATCGTCATTTAAATGTAGTTTGCTGCAAACACAACAGGGTCACTGTGCCGCAACACTGATATAGATAACATTTAATCTTTAAAAATAAACTTTAAAGACTCAAAGAGGCTTAATACTTTTCATTCTGTCCATCTGATACTGAGAACAGCGGCTTCTGCTGCTGCGACCTGATGGGTTTGGTTGGTCGTATTAAGATTTAGAAAGAGCCATGCTTTAACTAGAGTCTTCCAGTACATGTGGCCGAAGGCGTAACAATAATCATATTAAGGAGAGGGAGTACAAGGATGCCGAGTGAACTGAATCTGTTTTCTGAGGGTGGTGGGAGGACATGGAGGCGGTGGATGATTTTAAACAGTCTAATTTAGGAAGCAGCTGCAGAAACAAAGAGAACAAAGTACTGGTGTGAAGTAATAAACAATTTACAATCCAAAATCTGCTCGTTGACAGGTGGAGACAGCTGATGGGGAGAACGGGGAGGAGAGGGAAAAGACAGAAAAGAGGCAGGTGTTGTGGAACAGACTCATGTGAGTGAAACAAGGCTCTTCACGGTGTCAACATGTTACCGTAGGGCTGAGCTCCGACAGAGGGCTTTTATTCTGAAACCTGGTCTCAGTTTTACATTTAGGGTTCAGGAGCTTGAGCTTATGAGAGGAACTTGGAGTAGAGCTGCTGCTCCTCTACATCAAGGGAAGCTAGCTGAGGTGGTTTACGCGTTTGGTAAGGACCTCTGCCAGTAGAAGTAGTTTAGGTATTTTAAAATCATTTCCTTGAGCCAGTGTGTACTAAAATTACTCTTTACAGTGTTACTGAAACGTCACTAAGACCCCTACTGCCCCCTGTGGCCAGAATACCACATTTGCAACTTCAGCGTGGTGGCTGGACCTGTTAGACCTAGGAAAAAACTGAGGTGACATACCTGGCGCTGCAGTCTGCTTCCAGCATGTTTCCAGTTCTCGAGGGCCGGTATTCTGCATCGTTTTCTTGTTTCCCTGTTCCAACACAGTTGATTCGCCTGTGCAGCAGCTCATCGAGCTTTCCAAAAGCCCGATAATCACCTGCTGATTCAAATCAGGTGTGTTGAAACAGGGAAACACTAAAACTTATGGGATAGTGGCCCTCGAGGGCCGCAGTTCGACACCTGTGTTTTAGATCATGAACACAGCTGAGTTGCTTGATCACTCCTGTAGACACTAATGAAGGCTGGAGAGACATTTCAGCTGTTAGATTAAGGTGTGAAAAAGACGAACGCACAGCGAGGAGAGGGTTTCGTTTTCCGTTTGACCACAGATATTTAATAACGGACACGAGGGGGTGCTAAAAGCAAGCTAAACTGCTCAGTATCCCTTTATTCCTGCAGCACATTGAATTGCCTCGGGGCACGAATGTGCAAAATTAACAAATCTACCTTGCCTTTAAACAGCTATATCTTTAGTTTATGAATATTTGATATAACATCATCATAAAATTCATTGTTTTTAAAAAAACAAATTGTTCGTGTGAATTTTTTTTTTGTTCTGACCGAATTTTCCTTTTAAAAGTTTTTTTATATCCCGGGAAACGTCCTTTTGTTGAACACGGGCGCCACCTGCTGTCTGCATGATACCAATGCAAGGTGAAGGGCGGTCCCGTTTACGTCATCCCGTTGACTGTGACGTTGCTCCATGTTCCCTCCACTAGTCCGTTGCTCCTAAGGGAAAAGCAGCGATTCGACAGGGATTTATCCAGGTACGTTTACTTTTAAATGCGTTGTTTTGAGTTTAGTTTCTTTTGGAAAGTGTAAAAGTGCTTTAACCTAAAGCAGACACGAGTGAAGCTCAGCCACCGCTAAGGGATCAAACGGACCGGAGCTACGTGCTAATCCGTGCACGCCTCCGAAGTGTTGCATACAGAACTCTATTCAAATTCTGACAGTTTTCACATTTTAGTTTTAATGCATTAAAAAAGGTGCGAGACAATTGTTCCTTTATTGTTTAATTACGTATTTATGCTGTTCGGCTTCAATAAAAGCGTGCTAAAGAACGTTTTGGGCATTTTAGTACACTTTTGGGCCGAATTTTAACACGATACTGGTTTAATGAGAAACCATGGCACCATTACGACCTTTGACCCCGGGGCCGTTACACTGAATGTTTTAGATGTTTCCACGAAGCAAAGCACCATAGTGGTGCATTTGGGGCTAAATGAACAGGTGAGTCAGCCATGTAATCAGGTGTGTTGGAGCTCAAAACAAACATGCAACCTTGAGAACCAGGGTTGATGTTTCGTCACGAGACCCTTTGTGAGGCTACCTGGGCTCAAGGTTTGCGTTGGGGGTGTAGTTTTGGAGCTGGGCCGGTTCCAATGTGTTCCAGATGCAAAAACGTGCTAAAATGACATATTATACTTTCACAGATCACAACCTAAGTTTTATAAACTCTGCTGTTAGTCTACAATAATCGAGTCCAGGTTTGTAGAGTCTAGGAGTTGTAGTTTTATAATAGTTGCAGATTAAAGATGCTCAGTGAGCGGAACGTTGCCCTTTCCCGAAAGGGAACCAACTTCAGCTCCATCTCTCCAGGGACAATAACAGAACCAGACCTGGCTTCTGTGCATCCAGCTGCTTTGCAGAAATGGGTGAATCACATTTTTGAAATGAAAGATTCCTGTGAATCCTTTGACTGAAGCATCAGATCTTCTGAGTTCAGAGCAGAGGACATGCCTTCTCTCGGTCTGTGTGTTTACAGATCAGAAATGGCCCTCACACAGGTGTCCTCCAGTAAGTGTGCTGGTGGCTTCCAGAAGGTTTTTGAACATGACAGGTGAGACACGTTTTCATCAGCTTCTCCTTTGACCTCTGAACGGTACAAAGGGATGACGTTTGTCTTTTGTTCTTGTGTTTCTTTTCTCCACAGCACCGAGCTGAAATGTAAGATGAAGTTTGCCGTCTACCTGCCCCCCAAGGCAGAAACAGACAAATGTCCCGTCATGTACTGGCTCTCAGGTGGGTCTCCAGTTGGTCAGGTCCTCAGCTGAGATGCATGAAGGCAAAGTTTGAGTCCTGAAATTTGCTCATGTTTGCATAAAAAAATCCAACACGTCCCAGGTTTTGACTTCGTCGTGCTTTGATCGGTTGTCATGGTGACGTGTGCAGGTCTGACGTGTACGGAGCAGAACTTCATCACCAAAGCTGGCAGTCAGCTGGCTGCTGCAGAACATGGGATCATCATTGTGGCTCCAGATACCAGCCCACGTATGAACATGCTGTATTATAGATTGGTGATTTGTTCAAACCGCCCTTCCACTCTGAGCGACGTTTCCCATCATGCCTCAGGTGGCTGCAGCATCGAGGGTGAAGATGAGAGCTGGGATTTTGGTACAGGAGCTGGTTTCTATGTGGACGCCCTGCAGGACCCCTGGAAGGGAAACTATCGTATGTATTCATACGTCAGCGAGGAGGTATGATCACTTCAGCTCCGTCTGCCTTCAGCGTTCTCGTTGTTTCAGCTAACCAGCCTCAGTTTCCTTTTTATCGTGCCAGCTCCCACAGCTCATCAATGCCAACTTCCCCACTGATCCAGAGAGGATGTCTGTTTGTGGGCACTCGATGGGGGGCCACGGAGCTCTAATCTGTGCCCTGAAGAATCCTGGGAAGTACAAGGTATCATGTTTTACCTCTGATTAGGGCTGAGTAACAGAAGAGAAGCTCCGATGTCTGGAAGGGGCTCGGGGTGGAGCTCAGTTGCTTAATGAGCGTAAGAGGCTGCTGTTCCCCGTGGGCACAGATTGGAGAAGGGGTCAACAGTTGGGGTTGCTAAGCTTGGCTGGCTCTTGTCGTAGCTTTAGCGACCCAAAGCTAGCGCCTGTGCTCGTCTGTTGGGTCAGCCTGCAGAGATGCGTGAGTGTGTAAGTTCTGTTCCGTCTCCTTTTAGGCTGTGTCAGCGTTTGCCCCCATCTGTAACCCCATGCAGTGTCCGTGGGGTCAGAAAGCCTTCTCAGGTTACCTGGGCCCTGACCGCTCCACCTGGGAGGTAAAAGCACCACTACTCCAACATTACCACGACTCTTGAAGGGTTAGGCGTGGGCCCGAGCTGAGTACCGACAGGGCTGCCCCTTTGATTGTGGTCCTTTTTCAGGCATACGATGCAACCGTGTTGGCCGCTTCCTACTCCGGCCCTCAGCTCGACATCCTGATCGATCAGGGTCGCGATGATCAGTTCCTGTCCGCCAGCCAGCTGCTGCCTGATAACCTGATCGCTGTCTGCTCAGAGAAGAAAATCCCTGTTGTCTTCAGACTGCAGCCGGTCAGTGTTTTAACTTTGTTGCAGAACGTGGACTGCATGCGCAGTCTGAATAAAGACATGGTTCCTTCTGCAGGGCTACGATCACAGCTACTTCTTCATCTACTCCTTCATAAATGACCACATCAAACATCATGCCAAGTACCTGAACGCCTGAGCTGCTGATGACCCACTTCCTGAAGAGCTGGGAACAGCTGGAGGTTAAATGACGTAGCTAACTTAAGTGTAGCTGAGGTTTGGTGCCTTCATCACGTGCTCCCGCGACCCGGCTGGGAAAGTGGTCGGTGAGCTGGGCTCGACGGGAGAGAATAAAATCAGTTACTTCGCCTCTGTGTTTCTGCATTGAGCTTTTTTCACTCGGTTCAAGACAAGAACAGGCGACTGGGGAAAAATCTGAAAATGGAGCACAAGTCCGTTCAGGTCAGTTATCCAGATGAGACTGAAGAAGAAGAAAATATCATTTCTATAGCGCCTCTCAAGATAAAAATCACGAGGCGCTTCACAAAAACAAAAAATGTAAAAATATAAAAAAGCATTTAGAAAATGTTGAAAAATATATTTAAAATGAGCAAAAATAGGCAATTGTGATTAAAAAATGTTAAGAGAGAGAGTGAACAGGAAAGAGGGAAATCAGTGGATCCTGAGGAAGGTGGAATAGGTGGGGAGAGCAGAATAAAGAGAGTGGTGAAGAAGGTCATACAAAAGCCAGCTCGAACAAGCTGCTTTTTAAAGGAGACCACTGAGTCCACTGATCTCAGGCTCAGGGGGAGAGAGTTCCAGAGTCTGGGGGCCACAGCAGCAAATGATCAGTCACCTTTGGTCTTTAGCCTGGTGCTGCACAACCAGTAGGCTTTGATCACTGGACCTCAGGGACCTGCTGGGGGTGTAGGGACTGAGAAGATCACCAATGTAAGATGGTGCTTGTCCATGTAAGGCCCTATAGACCAGAACCAGGATCTTGAAATGAACCCTGAAGTTGACTGGCAGCCAGTGAAGCTGGAGGAGAAGCGGGGTGATGTGGGTGTGTTTGGAGGACTTGGTCAGAAGCCGAGCACAGGCATTCTGAACCACCTGTAGACGGTTCAGGGAGGTTCTGCTCAGACACGTGAAAAGAGAGTTACAGCAGTCTAAGCGTGAGGAGATGAAGGTGTGGAGAACTGTCTCAGATGAGACTGAGAGACCATCTAAAGGCTCTGGAGCCCTCTGCAGCTGCTCTGGATTCATCAGCTGATAGTGCGACACTGAGTATTGAACCTTTTCACAATTGAGATTCTGAATGTGGAAATTTCATCAGCTGTAAGCCACGATCATCGCAGTTCCAACAAACAAACAGAAGCCTTTAAGTTGATTTACTGACAAATGACCTTTAGCATCAGATTCTAATTATTCCACATTCACCCGCGTGCGTCTTCAGCCTGTTGGTGCAGGAAAAGCAGACCGTGTGTTTTCAGACGTGAGGTCTTTACTCAAAGTGTTGACAAGTACAGTATATACAGTATTCACAGCAGTTGAGTGACGTTACAGGGACTTTCATGCAAACTGTACAACAACTCACAGTTACAAAAGGATGTTACACCACAGTTCAACAGACCTGAAGATAAGTCACAAAAATAAAATTTATCCCAGTCAAAAGTACAAAAGTGAGCACAGGCCGTTCTGGACCAGGTTTATACAAAAGAGTTTAAAAACAACACTGCTTCCTGTTTAACAGGGGTGACTGGCGTCCTGAACTCAACTCTGCTCTAGAGGAGGTTTCAGATTTCAGCAGATCCCAAAACAAAGATGTTCTTGAAGTTTAAAGTGCAGAATCGAGCAGAAAACATCCGTTTTGTTGCTTTTCCCCAAAAACACGAGGACAGGGTGAGCAGAGAAGTGTGGAAGACTCGGGTCCACTCTGACCACACGGAAAACCTCTTTGTCCTGCAACCGTTTCCATAGCAACAATAGTTATATTCTGTTATTTAAATGGATGCGAGTAATCAGGAATGTTGACATCTGCAGCTCGTCCTCTGATCTTGTAGCGCGTTAACCCAGAACCACAGCTCTCCTGGTAACACCTTCATCAGACACTAAACAGAGGAGGAACACGTTGTTGGGCAGAGGTCACGTCCACCCGGTGGAGGCTCTAATAAAGCCGTCAGCACAACCGCTCATCTGAGCTAACTCGGTCATTTACTCTCTCTTAAGTTAGCTGACAGGTTTCTTCAGCCTAAATGTTCTGATACCCACTCTGCTGTCTGCCACTAGAGGGCAGCACGTCTGCTCCTGGTTTAAGAAACCATAAACCAGTCTGATCAGAGGGAAATCCAGAGCATCATTAAGTATTGAGTCTGAGAACGTTTGGCTGCAGGACGGCGACATGTTTGAAAACGTGAAGCACCGTTAGAGCAGCAAGCCGCTGTGCTGATGCTGGCGCCTCAAACTCACACTCTACTGCCCCTCTGAGGCCGAGTACAGGGCCAGGTCTGAAGAGCGACATGAAACCAGTGGCTGGCAACACACACACACACACACACACACACACACACACACACACACACACACACACAGACAGACAGGAATGTCTGGCTACAGTTAACTTCAAATTAAAACTGCAAAGCTGCATGAAGACAAAAGCAGTTATTAAGAATATCAGTCACAAGTTCAGGCTGCTGATGCGCCCCCCCCCCCCCCCCCCCCCCCAACACACACACCTCATCCATGTAGCATATCTTCTTACGGCGTCTCATGGACAGAACCAGTGATGAATCTGGGATCTGTCTAGTAAACTGGTGTTCACTCATTCCCATTAACAAAAGTTTTGGCACAGTACTGAACTGCATGTAGAACCCAGTGACCCTGACCCGATGGTCACTTCCGTCAGACACACATTAGTGTCCCCATAGAGACAGTTTAACACACACACACACTGCAGTAAAACTTAAGAAAATATACACAACTGTACTGAAAATATATTAGAGAAAAATAGTTTTGGGCTATTTCTGCCCGACTATACAACAACTCTCTTCTGTGTGCTATAAATAACTTCAGCTGGCTGATCTTTAGTATTTTGGTTTGATTCAGTCCAAAAGCTCAGCATCATTAAAACATCTGTACAGGTTACACTCCCTTAAGGGTCAGCTTAAACGATGCGTGCATAGAGTGGTGATGGATTCGAATACTCACATATCAAGCCAAGCAGCTTCAAACCCCCCCCGTTTAGAGTTCCCCCCCCCCCCCCCCCATAAAATAATCCTGATGAGTGGAGCCACAGCCAGTCACATAAAAGGCATATCTATAAAAACAAACTAAACTCAGAGTAAAAGTCTTCATTAGAAGACCCCCCCCCTTAAAATAACAGATATTAAAATTATTTCCCTTCCCTGTCATGATGTTCATCACCCCAGAGAACGTATTTGATAAAGTTGCAGGTTTCGTGTGAAAAGGCGGAGCTGGTTAACCATTTTCACCTCCGTCCGCCTGAACTCACAGCTGCAGTTCCTCTGTGTGAACGAGTGAATGCATCCATCTCTGTTGGGTTAGGTCTCCTTTCTGCCTCCTGAAATGAACTTTGGTTTGTGATGACGACGACGCAGAGGCGAGCCGCGGCGTCGAGTCAAGTGACGTCCCGAGTGCTGGCGGGGTCACGTGTAAGCTCCGCCCCTCTGCTGCTCACGTCAGAGCCGAGTGTTTGGGGGAGCCCTCCTCCACCAGAGCCTGCACCGTGATGCACACCTTTACCAGGCCCTTCTCCTCCAGGATGTGGTGAGGAAGACACAGTTTGTCCTGGGAAGGTCACAGTGGGACAGGAGGAACGAGGGAGGCGCAGCAGAGAAAAGGAGTGAAGAAGTAGATGCAGGAAGGAGAGAAAGCAGCACAGGGTTTAGACATAAAGCTGTAAATAAAACAATTTGTCACACAGGGTTTAAACACGACTTTATACCAGTTTCCAGGACAGTCAGATCCACTCAATGCACTTTTAAGCATGAAACTAAATTAAATGTGTACTTCTAGCCCGCTTAAAGTTCTAATCAAGTCTAATTCTACACAGCAGCTGGACGTTGTCAGGTTTCACGAGTCCCACTCAGATCCACCAGAACCTTCATGTGCTGAGCCGATCCTCCGGGTCCAACTTTACTTTCATCCACATGAGGACACAGTGTCTTAAACAGCAGCGAAATACAGTAAATCACAAAAGCTCCAGGGGGCTGAAGGTGTTGGGAGTTTGTTACGCCAAAGCCTGAATCCCACGTGCACACAGAAGCTAATTAAGGTTTCATTCAGTTTCTGAGAACTCCTCCCACTGCAGAGGCAGACACCTCAGCAGCACACCCATGTCACCAAAACCCGACACAAACAATAATATATTCATCTGGACCGACTGCAGACCGAGCAGCCCTTCAGATGATCTCCTAAATCAGGCTTATTGCATATTGGTGTGAAGCAGCATCAGATAAATGCAGACATCGTCCTACAGGTCAGGAAACACATAAAACAACGTAAACTGAGAGAAATTTACAGTAAATATGTTCAGCAGCTTTGAATAATGTAGTTTATTAAATATGGCTTCCGATCACACACTGGAGGACGACCAGATGTGTTTGTGCAGCTGTGCTGTGGTGGGCGTGTCCTTACCGTCTGGTTCGCCTCACCCACATCACACCATGTTCTCTGCTGTGCTTTTTAAATCACAAGCTGAATATAAAGAGTTAAAGGCCCCAAAACACATTTGTCCCATAAATGATCCTGTAGCTTGATGATGGAGGGTGGGGATATCTCCAAACGGTTGCTTCTGTGATTTTAAAGGTTGTTATTTCGGTTTAGTTCTTGTTTATGAACCAAAAACTTCTAAAATCATGAACTACCTGTAGTGCTTACATGTCTGAGAATACCAAACTTATTACAACTTGTTTCTTCACGATGAGACCTACGGTTGCTGGAAGAGTTGAGCCAAATAAACATCATCCACTAGCATTACAAACGCACCACAACCTAACCCTGTCTGTGGTTTAGACCCCCGACAGAAGAGCTTCTCCGTCCAGCTTCCTGTAGAGGAGGCACCAGCATCTCCACACGTTTCTGTCCCGGTTTCCAAAGCATCAAACAAAAGTAGATGTTGAGGGGAGAGCAGCAGGTTCATGCTGAGGGTCCATTTGTGTCACATGGGACAGAGAACAAACAGCTGTGACTGGATCGGATCTAAAGAGTCATCGGGTCAGAGACGTACTGCAGGACAGCGCCGGCGTGTCTGAGAGGTCCTGGACGGGACCGTCCAGCACAAAGTTAAAAGGGCAGAAGGACTACGACTGATGCAGGGTTTGGCTTTGTGTGCCGTTTGTCCCACATGGCACAAACACAACTAAATAGGGAGGAGGAGCCTGGGAAGAAAGAGGGTGGGGCTTGAAGGGCTGTTGCCATGGTTACGTCAGCTCGCTCCAACTGTAAGCCACAAACAGCAAAACTAAGCAGAGGATATGAACCAGGCTGGATCCAATGATGTCCCAGACCTGCCAAGCAGGAGGTGGGGTTTGGGTGGTGACAGAGACCACTGAGGGAGTCTGTGATGACCTGCAGGAGGCGGGGCTAGCCGACATTGCTTCATCTTGCTTCCTGTTTACAGTGCTAGTATCGAAGGTGACCAATGCTCGAACAGTGCCGTGGACTGGCTGCAGACGGCACTGGGTGATGTCGTAGGGTGAACAGAGAGAAGACTGGCGACCCCGCGAGGAAGGGAGGGGTATTTAAGGAATAAAATGACAGAATAAAAAAATGAGGAGAAAGAGGTGAACAAAATAGGAGGGTGAGGGTTTAAATGGGGAAATATAAAAAAAAAATAAAGAAGAAACAACCCATAAGTGAGGAAAAAAAGGCAGTGGGTAAAAGAAGGTTGGAGAGTTCATAAACAAATAAAACAAACAAACAAACAAGAAGAAAGGATGTGATCCAGCCGGCAGGTCAGAGAAGAAAAAGAAAAGGGCAGAATGTTAACCAACAGACCCAGAGGGCACACAGATCAAAGTCACGAGTCTGAGCTGGCAGGGAGCAGCAGCAGGCAGCGGTCACCATGGCAACCATCAGGGATGCTTACTGAGAGACAGCTAAACTAATTCTGGTGACTGGTGTGACCTTCCTCTCCCAGTAAGCAGCCCTGTGATAGGAGGGTGGGAGGAGGCAGCTGATGGAGAGCACAAACTTTGCAGAAGCTTTGGCAGGAAACAACGTCCACAGAGAGGCTGGAAGCAGTCAGCAAGCAGCGATGGGACTCACAGACCAAGCAGGTTAGAACCTCATCCGGAGGAGATGGGCTGTCCTCACAAAAACCCAGCAGAGTAGAAAATACAGTTAACAACATCAACAGTAAAATTCACTACACTCGAAACAAAATGCCCACATACACACACACACACACACACACACACACAAAGGTCTGGCCTCTGGGCCAGGCCCGGTGGCTGGGATTTCACCCATGGGGCAGACCCACCACCTGCACGAGGAGCACGAAGAGACTGGTTTATTGTAAATGGGGTTGAAGACCCAGGTAGGGGCTTTAGGGGCCTCATCATCAGAAACTGAAACCCAAGTCACTGAGTGAGGTCGGAGTCTCTTCACCAGTGAGCGACACGGGGCAAGGGTGGGTTCTTGTTAGGCCTTCAGAGATTCAGACGGTGTGTTGGGTTTACCCCAAGGGGTAAAAGGGTCGCTTCCCTTCACATTTGGGGCGAGGAATGGGTCAGGACTGTTGTTTGTGCTTGAGAACTCTGGTGAAGAGGAACAGAACAGGAAAACGCCAGGTGGACCTGGTAGACCCAGCGTGTAGTCCAAAGTCTGCTGGGAAAGACCCGCCGAAGAATCTGTCAAGCTTATCTTTCATTTCCAACAGAAATTGGATCCGAGGGAAGTCAGGAGCACCGGGTCCAAATTAGGCAGCCGTTAGACGTAGCAGCCTCAAGTTTGCAAGTGGCAATCGTGGTGGAAACCCCCGAACCCGCTGGTGGACACCAGAGGTTTAGGGGAGCCATCAGGCTGCAGAAGGAGGCCTACGGGGTCTCCAGAAGCAGCAGATGAGAACTGGAAGGCCGATCAGTGTGCAGTATTGGCAGCTGCTGAGGCAAGGTGCTGATTGTAGGCGGAGCTTGGCAAGACCATGGAGAGAGACTACTGATGGATCTGCTCCAAACAGGTTCTAGCAAACTTGTCTGGTGCCTCAGGGTGGAAGGCAGCAGCTCACTCACACTGTTGAGCTGCGGACGTTTCCAACATTACATCGACATCGAGGTCAGTGCCTGTGGCAGACTGGGGTGGTGGTCCATTTTTAGGCTAGGGAACCGGTGTACCACAAATACAGTGGGACAAGTTGCCCCAGTATAAAAGATGAGAGACATCAGTTATTTTCATCATAGGTACGCTTCAACTGTGAGGAATTAAACGTAAAAGGATCCGGGAAATCACATCGTATGATAAATTTTACCGTATATCTGTGTAGTGGTGCAGAAGAAAGAAGTATTTGGTCAACAGCAAAAGTTCACCTCAGTTAAATGTTTCCTGTAGGTCTCCACCAGGCTTCTACACACTTCACCTGTTCTTCCATGTAGATCCTCTCTAGAGCTGGGATGTTTGAGGCTGTTGCTAGGCAACACAGACTTTCAGGTTCTCTATTGGATTGAGGTCTGGGGACTGGCTAGGCCACTCCGTAACTTTGAAATACTTTTTTATGTAGCCACTCCTTCATGCCGTACGATCCAGCCTGTACATTTCATCTTCAATGCCCTCAGCATTGGAAGGAGGCTCTTGCCCAAAATCTTACAATACACGGCCCCATTCATCCTTTCCTTAATCTGGAATCGTCTGGCCCCCTTTGCAGAAAAGCTGCCTCTAAGCGTATGTCTCCACAGCCATGCTTCACAGTGGCGTTCTCATCTGACCACATGACCTGATAAATGATACATGACCTGCACTTGTAAAGCACCTTTCAAAGTCAGAGGACTCCAAAGCACTTTATACTACAGTGTATGTATCATTCATCCATTCACACACACATTCATACGTTGATGGTGATAAGCTACGATGTAGCCACAGCTGACCCGAGTCTCACTGACAGAAACGAGGAAGCATTCTACCTATCCCGAGTGCTGCACAACGACGTTACCGGTGTTGGGCAAGTTACTTCAAAACTGTAATGCATTATCTATTACTTGTTACCCTCATTTTAAAGTAATTCATTACATTACAATATTACTGATTTTAAAATGTAAGGCATTACACTACTTTTGCATTACTTTAAGTTACTTTCACCAAAACAACTTCAATATGAATCTGGTAATGTGACGCTCAGTGAGCTCATGACATATATGTGGAAGGTGATGTGTTGTCTGAGCTAGGATTGCTGTTAAAAGCAGTCAGATATAATAACAGTGCTTTAAAATGATTGTTTATTAAATAAAAGCAACAACAATCTGTACTCTCAGCACGCTGCCATCTTATAGGGCCATCTGATCAGGGAGTGGGGTGGTGGGGGCTCCAAGCCTATATTTGCCTTGGTCCCCAAATGCCTTGATACGGCCCTGGATGTGGGACTGACTTCTGGGGTGATCTGATTCTATCACATGTATAAATATTAAATGCTTATATATTATTGCTTTTCACTGGTAAAAATGTGTATTGGGGATAAATCTATCTACTTTTTTCTTTTCAAGCACTTTGTTTTGTTTTCTTGATTTTATTTGAATAATTTCCGACCCTTTCCCTCTCTAACCTTCCTGCATGCTGCATGTTTTCTCCGTCTTCCAGAAAAACGGTTTCCTAGATTTCCTACTTTCTAACTAATCAGCCAAAGAGATCTACCGAACACAACAACAACAAAAAAAAAAGCTTAATATGCGCTGCGCTCCAGGAGCAATGAGTTGAAATCACCGGGGCACAGATTATGAACTCAGCTGAAAAGTACATGAAGTACCAGAGACTATGGGCTGATATAAACGATCGCAAACTAATTACGTTGTTTAGGTGGAGCGATTTTGTGAATATAACAGCGGCCGCGCGCAGGACGCAGCTGGAGTATTTGAGCCATTACCACTGCATCCTCTCTGCTCATAGAATGCCCACAAAGCTGAGTCCATAAATTACGTCATATAGCGTAAATCCTCTAATATTGGCCTGTATTTAATTAACTGCCGGTTATCATATTTTGGCCGGTGTCAGAGTCAGCGGAGGTGAATAATGGCCGTTTTTTAATTGTGGCCGGGTGGAATGTGGTAACAAGCAAGTACGGGGGGCGGTTGTGTCATCCGTCTCACTTTTGGTTTGCCAGTGATAGACCGCGAGGGTAACTTTGACCGTGCGGTGACGAAGAGGAGGCAAAAATTTGATATCAAGTTCAAAAAGAACGTGCTGATTATGCTGCAGAACACTCTGGGGAGCAGTAGCAGGGGTTGTATGAACTAGTCACTAGTCGACTTCACCGCTCTATAGTGACTTTTTATGCCTGTCATCGACTAGTCGCTGTCACGTGATAATGACCGGCAAGATGCAGTCCTCAGAAAAGACAGCAGCCTGCTGTCAGCAGGTGACAAGCTCCTGCACGTCTGGAGGCGACGCGCTGTGCCAGAGCGTCGGTACCGACACCCGCCGTAAAACGGACATTTAACCAAATTGTGACGTTTACCCTCTTGCAATTTAACCTTCCCCTCACCCCATCCTAACCTTAACCAGCTTGCGCATGCAAAGCTCTGATTGCTGACGCGCTCCAGACATCTGCGTCCTGAGCACGGCCTCAGTAACATTATCAAATCAGGTGTCGCCACCTCAAAAACTAATTTAACACACGATCGTTCATGTCGGCTCATTTCCTTTTATGTTTTCTGTCTTTTATTCTTTTATTTGTGCCTGATGCGTTTCGCTGCTGTGGATCAGGGCGCATCACGTGTTTTGTCCTCGGTGACGCACCTAACTGATGTGGCCGGCGAGCAGCGCGCACTCCGCTGTTTTTGCGGTCGGTAGATCTTTTAGAACTGCAATTCAAAGGTAACTCATAAGGTGAATATATATGAACCCAGGTAGCAGTTTTTCTTTAGGATTGAGAGGAGATGCAGGAAGATAATAAACAGGCAGGACAGAAAAATAGTCAAATAAAAACAAGTTAGTTTTTGTACCTGGTGGTTGCAACAAACAGACACCATTGAAGGTAATCACAAGTGAGGAACAGAAAATTAAATAATTATTTTACTGTTTAGAGCAGCAGGAACTCCGAGAGGCTGCAGGCGCATCAGTGAGTTTGCGGCAGCTGCGCAGGGGGAGGGGGGAGAGGGCTGAAGCAGAAACTACCGTTGTTAAAAGAAATGTGTTTAACTTTGAAAATGTGGGCACAATTTTAATTGTCAAAAACTCCAGCGAACCATTAGTTCATTTTGCTCAAATAGAAATTGAGGCCTGCCTCTAATTCTGGTCCTCCTTCCAATAAAGGCCTGGAGCTTGAGTCAAATACAGGCCCGGGCCTGTATTAGAGGATTTACGGTATATATATATATATATATATATATATATATATATATATATATATATATATATATATATATATATATATATATGTGTGTGTGTGTGTGTGTGTGTGTGTGTGTGTAAGGAATTCAGCCACAGTGTGCAGCAACAACCAGTTTATCTGTGCTCACCACGTATACGATCCCAGTCTCACATCAGCAGACACACAAGTTTAAACTTGAAGTGACTCACAAAGCTGAGCCGGCAGCCTGACACTTCCCTCCCACTAACAGCTTCTTGTAAGCAGGAAAAAGGACGTATTAATGCTGTTCAGATGGTCGACTCTAAGTAGCTGAATGAAAGAGACAAGCTATAGAAAATCTCCTGTTTGAATCTACTCAGTGCTGCTGTTGTTATTTAGTCATCAAGTCGAAAATACAGGCCCGGGCCTGTATTAGAGGATTTATGATATGTGGATTTTTTCAGGCTTCCCGCAATTTGAATTTTTAGGAAACCCACATCTTGATTCTGGGTTTAAAAATGCATTGTAATTACCGCGTTACTGACAATTGTACAGAGTAAATATTACCATTTTCTTTCCCTGTAATGCCTTACATTACCACATTACAGCAAAAAGCAATGCATTACAGTAATTAATTACTTTTGTACCGCGTTACTCCCAACACTGTTACTAATGATAACTTTCATTACTGTCGTCCCAGCTCTCTTCAGTTCAATGACCGGTCCCTCGTGTAGCTCTGGGCTGTTTCTTCACTCCTCTCAAGATCATTTATTCCCCATGAGGCGAGATCTTGCATGAAGCCCCAGATCGAGGGAGACCATCAGTGATCTTTCTATTTATTCCATGACTTAATATTTCATCCAACAGTTGATCCCTTCTCGTCAAGCTGCTTGCCTTTTGTAGATTGGCTCACTGCAGTCTTCTGAAGAGGTACAATTCTGTCCTTGGTGTCCTTAGACAGCTCTGGTCTCGGCTGTGGTAGTTGGAGTCTGACTGAAGGTGTGGACAGGTGTCTTTTATACAGATAATGGGCTCAAACAGGTGCCATTAACACAGTGGAGGAGAGACAAGCTTCTTACGGAAGTAACGGGTCTGTGACGACCAGAACTCTTGCTTGCTTGAAGGGGCTAAATCCTTATTTTCTGCAACATTATACAAATAAATTCTTTAAAAATCATACATTGTGATTTTTTTACATCCCATCTCTCACAGCTGAAGTGTGAAAATTACCGACCTCTCATTTTTTAAGTGGGACAGCTAGCACAACCTGGGTCAGTATGAAGAATGTGTGGCTGGGTTTGTTTATTTTGAACTCGGTTGAGATCAAAGAAGAGCAGTAAAGTATTCACGGGAAAGATTTACACAGGTGGTGTGTGTGTGTGTGTGGTCTCCATAGTGTTTTTATTTATTTATTTTTTCATTTTTGACTTGAGTCTTGACAGCCTTCCTGTAATTGCAGTACCAAGAGGTTTTCCACCTCAGAGTTTTAATTTTCTATTACATTTAGTAAAGTAGCTCGTTAGTAAAGAAGCTCGTCAACAAGAAAGGACAAGGTCTGCTCCTTTGAGAAAAGTGGCTGAAGCATCTACCAACACAGCGAGGTCAGTGTTCTTAACTCAGACGTTCGTATTCTAGAGCTTCTTCTTTGGAACGTTCATCTTTAGCTGTGCTGCTATGCTACAGGTTTAACAGAGCTGAGCTAACGACATGTGTACTTCCCACAATGCTGTACTATTATTATAGGAATTCACACACACACACACACACACACACACACACATGGACAGAGACAGTCGAGGCAAACAGAGCAGCATCACGATGCTGTTGCTGTAAACAACCCCTGGTGATGAAGAAGCTTCAGGCAGCCATGGTGGCAGTGATGATGTCAGCATTACAGAGGCATTACATTAGGGGGGGGGGGTTCAACCAGAGCTTGGAAAAAGGCTGAGTGGTTCTCGGGTTTTATGATTACAATTGGAGACAAATCACTTTGGAGCATCTATGGCTGCCATCTACCTGTGGACAGGTGCTTACAGGAGAACAGAATGGAGAAGTTGTTCCACACAAAACCATCAGCGTTTCCCTCAGGTCTGGTTCAGTGTCCTGCAAAAATCCTCCGTTCATGTTCAGAACATCAAGTTCTTTCACTCCCAGGAAGAAAACGCTTGCAGGACACCTTCAGAGATTCTTGAATCTGTTGTGAAGACCATAAAAACCTAAAAGGTGAATCCAGCAATGAACTGGGAGCGTTTTCAGGTCAGAGGTCTCTGTGTGGCGGCTCGCTTTGTTAAGACTCAGTGATGTTCAAATGTGCTGGACCTTAAACAGAACTGGGTTCAGACGTTTGTTTGTCTGCCTTCACATGACAGTTCCAGACGGAGAACATGAAACCGATCTCCAGTTCACAGAAGCTTCCCCTCAGAGGAACCACAGGTGTGGCGTCTCTCTTACCTCTGACACACCGATCTTTTTGCAAGCATCCAGGAAGTTCTCCACATTCCTCCGACACTTGGCCATGCTGAGTTTGGGCTGGATGAACAAGCAGAAACATTTTTACACAGTATCTAATAGCATCCTTCTGTTCCACGATGACTAACTCTGAGAGTCACACGTACCACTGCAGGTGAGGGGACATGGATGCTGGCGACGGAGCGCGGGCGAATGTGATTGGCCAGATGGCAGAGCACCACGCCATCCATCAGAGACGAGCTGAGGTCTTCAGGAAGGACCACCTTCAGTCTGCTTTCTATGAGCTGAGGAGGAAACGAGCAGAAACATGAAGATGTGGGGATGTGTTGCTTCATAAAGGCTGTTGCATGAATCCACCAAACATCTCACATCTCTCAGCTGCTCCATGAGCTCCAGCTCCTCTCGCAGCTGCTCCATCTTCCGCCTCATAGTGAACTGAGGGTCCACAGACTCCAGACTCTTGTGTGTTCGCAGAAATACTACAGCAACAAGAAAACAGGATAGGTAACGCCACGCTGAGCCGCATACAGCAACAGGCCGCTCGCCTCAGGGAAAGGCTAAACTGAAGAGTGATGCCAAAGCTCTGTTAACCCTAACCCTCCAAAATGTGTGAGTTTAAACAAACTAGAGACCCTGAAACCGCTGATCCATGCTCTTCTGCTGCTAATGATCAGGCCTGACAACATGATCCAAACCCTCCAGGACTCTCACGTCCCCAACAGCCAAGCCTTCAGGACAGACCTTCTTGTTTCTGATCTTAAAAGCATTCATTATTTATTTTATTTTATTTTTATTGTTATTTATTTGTTTAATTTCCTAACATTTCTGACCTGTTTACAAATTAACTCCACAAAAAGGCTGCGTGGTGGCACAGTTGTTAGCATTGTTGCCTCGCAGCAAGAAGGTTGCAGGTTCGAGACCCAGCTGCGGTCTTTCTGGGTGGAGTTGCATGTTCTCCCTGGGCATACGTGGGTTTCCACCGGTTTCCCCCACAGATCACCACATGCCCGATAGCTTAAGAGTTGCACGTCACTTTGGATAAAAGCTAAATAAATAAACATAAAAAAGAACATTTCTCATCATCAGCGTAAAATCTAGTTTGTTGTAACAGAATGAAATGACTGTTTTCCCCCTCCTCTGACACAGGACTAGTCTGCATGAGATATGGTCTCAAGGTCTCATGCATTCCTTCTAACCTGCTTATATTCAGCTGAACAGAAGAATGAAGAATGAACTCTTTTCTTTTAATTAATCAAAGAACTCTATTTTAATAAAGCTAATCCATCAAAGTGTTAGTCAATAAATAAGATGTGACCGACCTGTGAAATCAAAATATTAATGACTTTATTATAATCCTAAAGAACATAATAAGTAATATGACTTTAAATATTCCAACAGGACTGATCTCACGTAGCGTTTAAAGACATGGCACATTACTTTCACTGATCCAGTCAGAATCAGACAGATCTGACAGAGGCGTGGTTTTGGTGGTGCTTGGTAAATCTGTCAACTTTTCATTCGACCATAAACCAAAACATCCGAAGTATAAAACTATGCCCACGTCATCTTTAACGCCAGTTCAAAGCATTCTAGAGAAGTTGACGGAGTGGCCAATCCGTAACTCTCCTCTTCAACCAAAAGAACCAACGACAAGCTGGGAAATTCGTTGTTATTCCAACTGCTGCAACGATTCCCTTCAGAATAAAAGCTGAACCATCAAGACCCAGGCTCGGGTCTCACCAGACGCCAATAAAATTGTCGTGACCCGGAAGTATCTCACAGACTGGTCTGGTCGGCAACCGCTGCTTTTCTTACCGGCTTCGGTTCCAGAGAAGGTCAAGCTGGACCTCGACATTCCTGATCTAAAGGGGACTTCCATGAAGGGTAGGTAGACCGGCAAAATGGCGTCGAATGTGTTTATGAATCTCCTAACCAAAGCTTAATGCGAAGACATCACCTTCAGTTCCCATTCACCGTCTCATCCACTTTAGTTACACCATACATGTAGTGTTTAGAGTTAGTCTAGTTTAATTTGTTAGTAATAAAATTCTTAACTCTTAAACTTGACTCTCTCTTCTGTATTCTCTGAGGGAATACGAAGCTGTTATCTAATCCCTGCATTAAACAGTTCCAATCTTCTGGTTAAAAAAACCTCACAGATCCATAAGGTTGATTTCATATTTCCTATGGAATCCTATGCCTTATGGCTTATTAAATAACATGTAATTTAATTCATTACATTGTTAAAGTTTAGCTTATAACAGTCCAACTCGTCTCAGTCATCATTCCATCTTCATCAAAATGTCCTAATTTCATTATTAAACACTAATAACATTTTTACTCTGTAAATAAAAAAGCTGGTTGAGAGAGAAGCAGCTTTTCTGAACCAGGTTCTCATCAGAACACACACACACACACACACACACACACACACACACACACACACACACACACACACACACACACACACACACACACACACAGATCAGCTCTTACAGATAGAGAAACAGCATCCATGTTGGTCCCATGTGATATTTCGTGTTATGGTTCTGAATCAATATTTTAAAGTGAAGTATGGATTTTTATTCATCTACACCTGCGTTATAACGCAGGTCACCCGTCGTGGCTTCACAATTTCGCAGATTTTTTCCCCCGTCAATAAATAAACGGTGACAACGATGATTGACATTAACAAAAATCTGAAAATGGAAAAGAAAGGCAAACAGAGAAAAGAACCAATCACAGTGTTGGATCCGGCCGCTGTTTGAACAAGCTAGTGGTAACCATATATGCATGTATATAACAGTGGAACAATTTATGTCTAAAAGGAGAAAATGTCCTCCAGTGGGAGGAAAATCATTAGATGTGACCATGTGACAAGTGTTTGCGTGGTGATCACACATCAGGGTCTCTCCTGGCTTTAGAAGTTACAGCGGTAGCAGCGAGCAGGGCAGGAGATGAATGCTGGACTCAAATCAAACGGAACACACATGTGACACATGTGGTTGTGTTATTGTTTTAGTGGCGCTGCTACAGTAATATAATCAGCGTTTGGTGTTTTTGTGAGAAACAACATTCAGGCAGCTCACTTTAGTTCATTAATTTAGAGGAAACTAATAAATACACCTGAATATAAAGTGTGTAGTGAGGGGTTTTCACAGGCTTAAAACCTCTAGAATAACTGTAAAAAATAAAGCTGGCTAGGTCACAGATTTCGCCTTTTGCAGGTTATTTTTAGAACATAACCCCACAATAAATGAGGGACCACTGTACTGCGAATCCGTACAGACCAATGCATGCACACCACCACCATTCCTACCCCTCCCGCTCGGACCGGGGTGTGGAGGCGTGCGTTCGGTTCGGAGGCCACAAAGAGAACCTGGCCTTTGGGTCACCTATTGAGTACCACTGTCCTACAGCTTTATATTTAGTGTGCATTACAATGAAAATATGAAATAGTACTTGGCTGGGTGAAAGAAAACAGGAGCCGTACGAACTGCTGGTATCTGTCAGAATGCTACTAATGCTTGTTGTCAACTTTACGGACCGTCAAACTATCAGCTGCTGGTTTGCTTAACATGTTAGCTCCAGTTTTCACACTTTATATGTAAGCTCTGGCATACAGGAGGTTTCCATTGTAGGTCAAGGTTCTCGATTGTTCCACGTATGATAATGAGTAGGGCTGCACAATATATTGAAAAATTATCGTCATCGCGATAACAGGACGTGCGATAGGCCCATTGCAAAGCACGTCAAAAACGGCGATAAATGTTTGGTTCAAACATTTCCATCCGTGTCATACATCAACTTTTTGTAAACCAGCTCTATTTTTTACGCGGAAGTATTATTTGACCAATCAAATGTAGCCCTTCTGATATGCGGCCAATCAGATGGGTCCGTTCACGTAATACGTCCGCCCCCTACATAGACCCTTACCCCAAAATTCCACTATCTCCACTCCGCCCCTGCTTTCCACTGCCGCTCGCCTCCCTTGTTCGTCATGCTGGCTCAGAGCAACGAACACACTTTGTGCTGAGGTTTCTGGAATCAGCGCTGCTTTCAAACGTGAACGTGAGTCCGCTCGGTGTCGTTAATCAGCTGATAGTAACCGGGCTGACTCCGACACGTGCCGGTGAACCAACCCACCTACCTCCATGTTGCTAGTGTTCCACCGGGTGGTGACGTTAGCCCCAGGCTCCGGTTAGCTTCCAGCTAAAAGGCTACAGCACTCTCCTCCCAGTCCCACCCTGCTAAAGAGGGCCTGGAAAAGTTCCCCCACACATCAAAGTGATTTTTCATTTATGAGCTTTTATAACCTTGTTAATCAGGATAGTTGATTTGCTGTTGCACATAAACTGTCAGTCAGAAGCTCTGCTAGCCGGTTATCTTAAGAGGAGCTAGTTCAATTTGTTAGCTTGTTATCAGAATCATAGTTGCAGTTTCATCATCTGAGCTGCTTTTTAAGATCTAGGTAAACTTGTTCAATTTGGGGTTAAAAACAAACGTTTTCACATATTTTCCATGTAGTTTTTTTTTTGCCAGTTCCTCTTCTGAAAGGTAGACAATTGTTTTTCTCTTTCCCTCAGAAAATCTTAATATTCTCCCAGTTTGGCCCAGCGCAGTTCACTTTCCAATTGCAGCAACAGCCTTATATCATAACCACATAAGTGGATAAAATGTTCAGTAGCAATGAGAGAATTTGCTGTTGCATTTAAGTGATGTTAACTATTATTTATCATTTAAACTTATATTCTGATTTTTTTATTTATTCAAAAACCCTGGTAAGGGATGTTTTTCTGTATTTGGAGCATCAGAAAAAGTTTTATGGTGGAGGTGATGTTTTAAAGTCACTGAGAAACTGCATGCATGCAGTTTGTTGTTTTGCTGCTAATACAGTAGCAGGTGCAGCTGCATAATTTTGCAATAAAAATGTTATGTTGTAATGGAATTCATGCATTAGTTTTTGTTTGCTTTGAACCCAGAGCAGACGTCACACGCCAGACGACATCAACACTGCATACTTTAGTATTTGTTCATTTATCGTGAGTAATATCGATATTGCAATATTAAGCACTGTTATCGAATATCGCAGGTTTTCCTAATATCGTGCAGCCCTAGTTCCACGTATGATAATGTGTATAAACACGTGTAACGAGGTTCTCGATCGTTCCACGTATGATAATGAGTGTGCGTAAACACGTGTAACAAGGTTCTCTGTACCTGGACTCAGTAGTTAGGTGTTGGACCTTTCCAGAAGATCTCTGAAAGGTCCAACACCTAACTACTGAGTACACATGACTTTTTTTGATGACACAAATATTATGTAAATACATATTACTATTCATTAAAGTAAAATTATTCATAAGCATTAAGCCCAAAGCACAATGTAAATGTTACCTATGAATTAAGACTAATATTGTCAATTAAATCCAAGCCAAGGTAATCCTGTGTATACAAAGCTGTAGCCTTTATAGAACATGTTCACTTCTGTTATTGGCAAGTGACCATTTAGAAAGCAGATAAAAACTATTGTTTTGTGGAAAAGATTGCCTTAACTTAATCAGTTCAAAGGGAACAACACACACACACACACACACACACACACACACACACACACACACACACACACACACACACACACACACACACACACACACACACACACACACACGGATGTGATCCATCCTGGACTATTTTCCAGAGGAAGTGGGATAGTCCTTCAGGGACCATTATCCAACACCTAAAATAAAGTGACTAAAATAAACTCCCACATAAATGTGCCCAGACTGAAGCAGACTCATTCATAAAGCAGATGCTACACACTCACACATAAACACACACATGCGCACATGCACACTCAACAGGAGACTCATGAACCTGTCCTTATATGGTCTGTGGCGTCTCAGACGTGAACACCTCCAGAACAGAACGACTGTCTTCTCAGATGATGTTGGCAGGATTTTCTGCATCCCAGATTAACGTTCAGAATAAGCAAGCTGACCAGCATGGAAATACTAGCACCATGCCCCAACAGGGCCCCGATGATCACAAAACATCACCTCTTCTCAGAAGTCCTGCGCATGCTCAGACCGGTCATATCATGATAGAGACTCTAAGAGCTAGAGATCGGAAATGTTATGACATCAACCGGCTCTTTAGTAGGGATTATGCATGTGGGTGGGACTCAGCAGAGGGTGTGTGTTTGTGACTGGCCACACAGAGAAATGAAGTAAACAATAACAATTCTGCCAGACAAACAAAACAACTTATTTTTTCTAAAACAAGTGTAGAAGCAAAGTCCCGTTCACACTAAACCAACCAGGAAAACACACGTTTGTGAGCTCCATACAGCCACTCGGTCAGAATCTTGTGAAGAAATGAAGACACTCAAAGCAGACTTCCCATCAGAGAGAAAGATCCACAAGAGAAAAAAGAGATTTTAGCCAAACGGGAAAAAATACTTAACACAGTTGACACGTCAGTTAAAATGTGAACAGGTCATAATGTTGGGCTTTTTGTGACTGAAGTGGTAAGCTGATATGGAATAAGGAAACTTGTGCAGCAGCCTCCACCTTCAGGATGCCAGAGGGTAACAATTTCCAGGTCATTGGAGAGAGGATGCAGTTAGCAAAACAAAATTAACCCCAGGGCACACCGTGTCTTTTGCTGAGAAGGACGTACAATTCTACACACTCCTTTTTAGACTCGCTGGAGCATAGCACCTAAAAATCCAGGAAGTTGGCAACAGACTCGTGATGCAACATGTTAAATCTGATTTGACTCGAGCTTCCAGTAAAACTCGAGATGTTGTCTGTTGTTCAGAACTACTGGGGCCCAACATCAGGGTCAGGTCCCGCCGCTGCTATGTACAGGCTCTGGGGTAAAGGAGAAAGTTATTAAAGTCACCTCACCAAGTCAAAGACTTGTTTTAAAAGAGCAGGTTTATGAGGAAATGTTTAACCTACTGTTAAAGGTGGGGTAGGAGTTCCTGGAAAGACTTTTTAAACAAGCTACATTTGGAAAATACCCAACTGAAAAGATCCACCCCCTTTCATTAGGCTCCTCCCTAAGCCACGCCTCCAGAATACTAGAAAATGATGGATACTTTAGAGTCAGTCAACCGTTAAAACATAACTTTATCCTAACTTTTAGAACGTCTTTGACAGCTTTCCCTTCAGTATTCCTAACCCGTACTTCACATCAGCGGCGCGAAACGTTGCCGCTTCAAACAGAATCCATTATGGGGGTGATTCAAACAGGCCATGATGTGGAAATGTACAGGCAGAAGTAGCGTGCCACGCACGCTGCTGAAGATGGGATTAGGTGCTGTTTATATCAAGAGCCGCTTCTGGAACACGTCGTCGTCGTCTTCCTCCGCTTATCCAGGTCGTGGGGGCAGCATCCCAACTAGGGAGCTCCAGACCGTCCTCTCCCCGGCCACCTCCACCAGCTCCTCCGGCAGGACCCCAAGGCGTTCCCGGACCAGATTGGAGATGTAACCTCTCCAACGTGTCCTGGGTCAACCGGGGGCCTCCTGCCGGCAGGACATGCCCAAAACACCTCCCCAGGGAGGCGTCCAGGAGGCATCCTGACCAGATGCCCAAACCACCTCAACTGACTCCTTTTGATCCGGAGGAGCAGCGGTTCTACTCCGAGTCCCTCCCGAATGTCCGAGCTCCTCACCCTATCTCTAAGGCTGAGCCTGGCCACCCTACGGAGGAAACTCATTTCGGCCGCTTGTATCCGCAATCTCGTTCTTTCGGTCATTACCCAAAGCTCATGACCATAGGTGAGGATTGGGACGTAGATCGACCGGTAAATCGAGAGCCTGGCGTTCTGGCTCAGCTCCCTCTTCACCACGACAGATCGGCTCAGCGTCCGCATCACTGCAGACGCCGAACCAATCCGCCTGTCGATCTCTGGAACACATCTATTAAAACAGTCAACATAGAGCTAGACACACGGTTTCACTGTAAAAGTCCTGTAATTCTGAAAATAAAAGACTAATACATCAACTCATGTGATCTAACGGCTCGTTTACGCCCAGCATCGTTTGAGAACTGCAGCGGTGTATTTTGCACGGCTTTAATCCTGGCAGTGGAGATGCACAAGCGGCAAGACCAAATGTGCGTGATTTCCTTCTTCCTTTTGGTTAAGTGGCGGGTGGCATAAACAAACCGTGACCCTTGAAGTCTTGAAGGATCTTGTGATGTCACGAGTCCAGCGAGGAGCACGGCAGAGAAGCCGCTCCGTGACTGAGACTCTACCGGTGTGAACTGGCACACAGCCAAGCTTGTGAGTGAACCGTTCAGCGCCGCCGATGCTTCCAGTGTAACATAATACTCATGTAACCGTACAAACGCAGTATGCTAGGTAATACGGCTAGCCCCGCTCTGGGTTCACTTCCTGTTCCACAAATTTAATGGACGGATGGCTCAGGATCCAATCACTAAGAACAAGCCTGTCACAATGGTTGGATGAGGTTTTACCAGGATTGTACGTTTCAGAGGTGATCAAAATGATTCCTTTGTTTGAAAAAAAAAACTTTAATGTATTTGATGGTATTGGTGTGTGAAGAGCATTTCAAGCGGTATGGCAAAAATACACCAGATAATATATCGTACCCCAGTTTTAACTATAATTATGTACAAGGACATTAGATTTTCCATTTTACAGTTAAATTAATCCAAATTTTATCTGTTTTATTATTAAAACTTTGCTTAAAACAAGCAGCACAGCTGAGAGGATGGATATGATGAAAACTGCTTAGCAGTAATATTTAACAATGTGCTTGTACGAGGTAAGCGTTTAGGTCATGTATGACATCATTAGCTAAAGGGGGACCAAAAGGACAGAAACCAGACATAAGGGCAAGGTGAAAAACAGTCGACCAGCTTGTACGGAGGTCTGATGTGGTCAGTTAACAGAAAAAGATGGCTCACCCTGGCTGCGCATGCCTCCGTCGCCACGGCTACGATGTGTGTCTCTATGTAGGAGTGAGGCCTGTGGGAGGAGGGATGGGTCTAGACAGGAGGTAGGGGGTGAGCACGGAAGTGAGGGTGGGGCTACAACCAGGAAGTGATCAGAGGAAAGTGATGTGTGTTGTAGGAAGTTCATTCCACAAATGCAAACCCCAAATACATCAAGATCACCAGGAAAACGTTTGGAAAAACATGGGTCGGAATCAATGACACAAGTATTGATTCAGGAGTTCAGAATCAGTGAATCCAACATTTAAGTCATGCAGGAAAAACGAACAGGAGGAATTTAACAAGAAGACAAGACACAACATAAAAAAAGCACAAAACAAAATCAAGATTAGTGACATTTCACGACACAACTCCACCCGACATGCTGTTAGCATCATGTTAGCTTCCAGCAGCAGTTAGAGACAGACCAGAAACCACTGGCAAAGAAAAACTACAATAAACTACATATAAACAAGGTCGCTGCGCAGTGGCTAGAGATGTTGCCTTGAGGCAAGAAGGTCCTGGGTTCGCTTCCCGTTCTGGGGTCTTTCTGCATGGAGTTAGCATGTTCTCCCTGCGCATGCGTGGGTTCTCTCCGGCTTCCTCCCACAGTCCAAAAACATGACTGTTAGGTTAACTGGTCTGTCTAAATTGTCCTTAGGTAGGTAGGTAGGTGTGTGTGTGTGTGTGTGTGTGTGTGTGTGTGTGTGTGTGTGTGTGTGTGTGTGTGTGATTGTTTGTCCTGTGTGTCTCTGTGTTGCCCTGCAATGGACTGGCTCTCTCTCCAGGGTGTACCCCGCCGATTGCCCGTTGAGAACTCTCTCAGTAGAAGACGAGTAGTGATCAGGGCGTTAAACAGCTGATCTGGTTCACTTTATATGGGCTAATAAGCTCACAGGGATTCTAAACGCAGATGTAGATGGACACCAAAAACTGGGTTATCAAATCTCACAATCAAATATCCATCCAATCAAATCCCACAAATCCAAGTTCAGACATAACCCCGGATTTGTGTTTCTAGAGCCGTGAACTAATAACCTAAACAACAACTAGAAGCTTCTCTACGAGGACTAGCTCACTTTAACCTCCAGAACAAAGCTTATGTTGAAGAGCATTTTGAGCATTCATCTAAAAATATAGGACATGAATACATTGGTTTGGTCCTTTTTAAACGAACCACAAAACTAAGCAGCAGACCTGTTTGCTCAGGAGCCGGAGCCAACTCACCTGAACGAGGCTTCAGTCCAAACGGAGGACTGGAGTAGGACGGAGGTCCGCTGACTGGAGATCTGTCATCTCGCTGCAACAGCAACAATAAAAGAGCCGTTTTAGTCGCAGGACTGGTGTTTGATCACAGAGCAGCCTGCACAGACAAACAGACTTATGAAGGAACGCTGGGATGAGAACAGCAGCAGACACACCCAAAGGTATCTAGTTCCAGTTATAACCTGCTTTTGAAATGAACTGGTCTACAGGCTCACAGCTGGAACTGACTGGTTCAGTACCAAGGGTTACTAACCCAGCACCAACGCATCTGAGGAATCCAGAAGAACAAACATGCACAGTTGAGCTAGGTGGAGATTTTCTAACAGAATTTCACCCCGTGTTAAAATCTGACCTCCAACCTGCTGCAGTCACAACATCACAGCACACAAACACAGAAAGATCTCATCGTGAAGACGCTTAAACAGACGGAGACACAACAGACTTGTGTCAGAGACCAAACGACTCCACCAGGGGACCACAGATCAGACACAAGCGCAGCGTGTTCCTTACACAGGCCGTGTAAGCAGGAACATGTTCATCTGCTCAAACACAGGACAAAAGAAAAACCAGGGCATAAATGCCCCTCCACAGGTGAGTGTGGCCCACTAGCTTCTCCATTCCTCACTAACAGCTTCAGTACATCCAACTTTAGCCGTTTGCTATTTCTAGAGAGCACCGGTGAGAGGAGAGCGTACAGCAGCACAGAGACATGTTCCATGTCCGTCACACACAAAGCTGCTGGATGAAACGTGAGAGGGAAAACACCATCTAACAGCAAACAGACAAGTGGTCTGACTGGGAAGCACGACTGAGGACCGCTGACTCTGATGGTCACAGCTGGCATCCAGAAGTCTGCTGCTATGGTTACCTTCAGTGGCATGTGCCATTCATACTGCCGGTATGCAAGCTGGGCCTGAAAGCGGGCCTTCTCTAGAATCATCTGTCTCTTCTTCTGGAACTCATAGCCACCTCCGTCCATGCGCTGCTACAGAACGCACCAAACATTAAGCTGCATGTGTTTCCCATTCCATGGATACTTACTGGATTACAGGACTTTTCTAGGATGAATCTTCGTTTACACAGAGAAACAGAAAATGAGACAACAAATGCTAAAACTACAAGTTTTCTGTGGTCCTGAAAACATGACTGGACTGTAACAACAAATCACAATTACCAACAGCTTCACCTCCACCACCGTCAGATAGCTAAGTATGATCTGGTGTAGGGGTGGGTGGTTTCATTTCATTCATGAAGTATCAAGAAAAATAATCTTGAAATCCTAATTTCACAAGTGGAACTGGAAACATGAGAATTAGGGCTGGGCGATATGACCTAAAATGTTACCTCATGATAAATGGACGATGACTACAGGTATGCGCAGAAACAAAGGTTGTCCACTAGATGGGGCTGGCACGTGTATCACGTTGAGTCACTTTTTACACTCAAGGTGTTGCAGCTTCTTAAAGGGACACACACGCTGCCAACCTACACACATCTTATCATTTTTTTTATTATCAGATTTATTGACATGGGAAAAATGATCTCGATAAGAGTCAGAAATTTCGAAAGCGATACATTTTCGATTTATTGCCCAACCCTAATGAGAATATGGTGCAAAAGTCCATTTTGTTCAGTAATTCAACTCGTCTTCAACCCTCCCTGCTGTCACCCCTAGCCTTTGGTAGTTCTCAAACATCTTCTAACAGACTTCATTGACCCTACCTAGTATTACTGCCAGAGAATGAATGAATGAATGAATAACTAGAAGTGTTTTTGTGTACAGTGTCAGGTAGAGCTGCACAATGTTATATTTCAGCCATTCCATGACTGCACAATACAGTCGGGTAATATTATTTGTAATATATAATTTTTCGTGCCCAGGCAAAATTAAATATCCTGATGTGCTAATGAGACGATCTCAGTCTGTTCGTTTAGCTCACGTGGATCCAGCAGCTCTGAATGTTTAAAGCTGTGAAACCAAACATGGCTGCAGTCTCCGTGTCCTCTCACATCAGTGAGTAGGGAGAGAGGCGTGTAGTTTCTGAGCTATGTTGGCCGTTGCAATGATGAAAATGAATATTAACAGATCTTTTGCTTTGTTATGTCATCAGATTTGTCGTTACCATCACATTACTCTGAAGTATCATGTTATTTTTGGGCCATATCGTGCAATGTCAGACACAAATTAACTCAGTCAGTTGTCATATAATATTAGGGTACACGACACGTAGTCATCCACCAATCACACGTGTTCTTACTCAGTTGGTGGAAGCAGAACACGAGGAGATGCAGCATTTCTTTATTTTTCATTGTTTTTGCAGCTTTTTCATGCATCAACAACACATCGTGTGTCTCAGTCGGTTGACCTATCGACCAATAGCTGAAGATTTTGCCTCTGCAGGCCTAACCTTTCATCTGTTGGATTGGGTAAGCTGTAGATCAACTGTGTGAAACAAATACGATGCAAACGGAGGTTATGATGAAAACCTGAATGCTACTTCAATAATATATGAAGCAGGACTGTGAACGTAATTTTTGTGGACTGTTTTATTGGGAGGACATGAATTGGATCTTTGTCGATTACTTTTGTTCTAAACTGCTCTGTTTTGTGTTTGTTGGGAAGTTTTCAGATTTCCAAGTGCTTTGGTAAAAGCTCTTACTTTCTCTACAGTTTAGACAGTAGAGTGCTGCAAAAGATTCAGTTTGACCTGGAAGAATGCAACTTACCTCCCGTGGTGCAGAACACATTCACGGGTCAATGCAGCATGACCTAAAGCGGTTTTCAAGTCGACTGTTGAAAATTCTTGTATTTATTAACATTGCACTTTAAATTGTAGGTTATAAAAAAAAAGCAATGTGAATGACTTCTAATATTGTGCAGCCCTACCATCAGATTACTCCTCATTGTCAGAATACTCTGAAATATCATTTTATCATGTCTGGGCCCTTTCACCCGCCGCTAGTCTGGCGACAGCTACCTTGTTTAGGACTGAGCCTGAATTGAAAGGTGGAGAAGACTGAAACAGTGTACCTTTGATACTATGGTGCTGTCGTCACTGTCCTGCCCGCTGATGAAGGGAAACAAGGAAAGAATAAGAAACATGAGACCACACTTAAATCCACCACCATCCTAAATGTAAAGATTTCATTTTCTATCAAAAATTTGAGAACTTAAAACTGCAAAAGTAGATTTGAAAAACAAAGTAGCTTCAACTTTTTTTCATGCCTCTCAACAACGTTCTAAAGCGTCATTATTAGCGTCTCAGGGAAGTTACCCGAGGGGAGGGCGCGTGTTCAGCGACTACGTTTGCGTTAAAAACCTAGCTTGCTTACAGATTTGTTATAACAGCTTTAAAGGTTGGGTAGCCTTCATTTTGTTAGCTACCTCAGGTGAACTCTATCTCTAGCACATTCGGGACCCGCTAGTTGTTAGTTAGCTTGCTGCAACCTGCAAACCCCATCCCGCAAGATCCTGGAGGACCTGCGGGATCCCCATCTCATCGCAGGGTTCTATCTGGAACCACACTGGAGCAGATACTGAAAATCTGACAAACCATTACTTATGGAAATGCCGTCCAACTGAAATTAGGGATGCACCGATCAGGTTTTTTGCTGCTGATCACCGATACCGATCACGTGGATTGGCCAGAAATTTTCTACAACATTATAATGAGTGGTACAAACTACATAATCTGGGAATAAAGGAAATGCAACCTAATCTAAAATGGTCTGTATTAGGGTTGTCACGGTGTGAAAATTTAACCTCACGGTTATTGTGACCAAAATTACCACAGTTTTCGGTATCATCGCAGTATTTTTTTTAAACGTGCTACATTTTCACACAATTAAATAAACCCTGTATGTCAGGAAAATATTGTCCTCAGTTTGTGTCTAAATTTTGCCTAAAATGTGTTATTTTGTAATTATGTTGTTTATTTGTTTACATTTTTCCCCTTTAGTCTTTAAAATAACAATATTTGCCCATAACTTCTTATTTTGTCTGTTTGATGTCATCATTTAAAAATATTAGACCAGATGATACTCAGTACTCAAGTAGCCTTCTAATCAGATACTTTTTTACCCTTACTTGAGTAATAAACCCTATATCAGGAAACTATTGTCCTCTGTTTGTGTCCTTCCAGTGAGCTTTGCAGATGTGGGAAAATGTCATCAGGCAGTAATCGTTGTTAAATTCATAATTATTCTCTGAGAGACCAACTCTTATCTGCCCCTGGGAGCCCCGTAATGCATAGCGTCATTTCAACATGGGGGTGTCCGCGACACGGTTTATATGCAGGTAGCGGCGCTGCGGCTGCTTTATATAGCGACTCGTTGCATTCTCCCTCAACCCAAATCCTCGGATCACGCATTTTAGCTAAAACGCTAACGTTAGCTTGCCTTGCGTTGACTGTAGAGTTGTGGGTGATGGTCACGCAGATGTGTCATGAGATTTGAAGCGTTGCTGCCTTTCACAGACACTTTTTCTGCACGTGCTGCAAACAGGATAGCCGTCTTCTAACAACTCCCTCGGCATTCTTCAAATATCCAAAATATGCCCGTACTTCCCACTTTGTCTTCTTTGAGGGATAATAAATGTCCTCCTGAGCGCTGCCGTTTCCTCCTTTGACCATTATTTCAGCATTAGCTTCAAGAAAGTTTTGGTTGTAAACAACAAAGTGCGCATGTGCCGCCGGCAACTTCAGCAGATGATATGGTGGCTGGTAAGGGTCACCGTGCCTACACCGCAGCCACGGTAACCCACCGAGATAATATAGTTTTTTTTTAAAACAAGACGGTTATTATTGTCAACTCTTTTTTTTACCGGGGTTTACCGCTACACTGGTTACCGTGACAACCGTCCTTGATCGGTCTGCTTTGATCTATTTTGAAAATTCCGATCAAAACCGATAGGGGCGCTATCGGCCGATTACGATCAAATGCCGATCCATCGGTGCATCCCTAACTGAAATGAATCAATTCAAGCCATAATGTGTATATACTAAAGGAACTGTGGTATTAGTTCTCGACTGGCATGGGAATGTCTTAGTATTGCCCTAGAGGAGCTCGCCCAAGAAGCTGGGGAGAGAGAAGTTTGCTTCTCTACTTAGGGTGCTGCTGTCGCAATCCAACTCTGGATAAGAAGGCGGCTAAATGAATGGAGACGTGATGCGGTGTGCAGCAACGGCTAACATTACTAGCAACCAAATGGAAGTTGATGGGTGGATAAATAAATGAAGATGTGAAGCTACCCGGAGCGCCTAGCAACAATCGGTAACGATTTTTCTGCATTTCTGCTGAGTGGTTGTGTGCGGCTCACATAGCGTGAATAACCAGCAAAGTTCTACTGACAGAGACAGCTGTGCGTTCTCTCAGTGATTAGAGAGACTTTGGTGTTTGCATCACAGCATGAACTAGCTTGGCTCAGGAGTTGTTTGTCCTGGAACCACTGTGGTGCTTTTACACTGGCGTTTAAACGTGTGTGTGCATATAGCACACAACCAAAGTCATTTCAGGGATTATATCACTTGGATTTTACACAGTACTTAATCTACAATACAGTCAGTAGAAAAAAGCAGGAACTCTAGCCTGAAGCCAGGCTAGCTTAGCTCATCAATCCTGGTGGATATAAACTGTTTCTCTGGAGAAAGCCCATTCAGAAAAGCGGCTTACAACAGGTAAGATAGTCATTATTTATACAGAACCAGGCTTCAAAGCAGCCAAAAACGCTATCATTAGGGTCGCAGGGATTAACCGGTTTGGCTATTAAACCCAGATACCCCCTTCCCCCCACCTGTAAAGATGTCTCCAACACCACCAATAGAAAACTAAAAGACAATAGCGCGACCTGCACGGACAAAAACAAAAGTGCACACGCAGCAGAAGCAGAACCGGTGACAGCAACCATCAGGACTGCTCCATTTCCACCTAGGAAGAATCTCCTGTGTGGGAATATATCTAATACATCTAAAATATTTGATTTTATATTTGTCATTATTATTATTATTAATATTATTTTCTTAAGGTTCACACTCAGGAACTTACTTTAAAGACTCGTCCACTGTGACCATCTCCACTGGGTACAGCTGGACTCCCGACAGGTCGTCCTGCTCCGTGTTCACTCTGACACACAACATGTGACGGTTAACAGCAACCCTGTTTAGTACCATGCTGCAGTTTACATAAACCCAAGCACAACATCTCAGCAGACCTAGCTCAAGCAGGGAGGACTCTGGTTTTAGCTCAGTAACTGAAACTGTGGTTTGTTTATTGTCTCTCACCTGCTGGGGTCCTGCAGCAGCTCCACAGCCTCCTGCAGTTGGTTGATCATGTCGATGTGGAGCTCCGTGCCTCTCAGGACCTTGGACCTAAGGCGACGGACACACAAATAAAAATGTATATCAGCTGGTTTTTAAATGACCCCTGTGAATAATCTAAATCTGGAATGAGAACAAAATCAGCAGTGACATGGTGGGAACAGCTTGGAAGGACAGAATGTTGTCAGGGGAACGTTGAAATCCTAGTTTCTGGGTGATCCGGGATGATGGTTTTGTGAGTTATAAATATGACGTGATCTAAGGCAAACCATTAAAACATATAAGAACGAATTACATACGTTTGATGGGTTTGCCAGTGTGGGTCTTCCTCTATCCTCAGGGGTTCTTCAAAGTCTCTTGCTGTTCGACCCTGCACACACACACACACACACACATACACACGCACACACATGCACACACACACACACACACACACACACACACACACACACACACACACACACACACACACACACACACACACACACACACACACACACATCAGTACCAGCTGTAGCGGTCACATGACCCAAATCCTTAATCAGCCATTGGTCTGAAGTAAGAGACGTTACCACCACCTTCTCTTTACAATAACAACACTGTGGCCAAGACTTCTGTCCCTTCTCTGCTCATCTCACCTCATCCTTTATACGCTTTAGTTATAAGAAAGCTGATTAGTAAAAGACACATTTGGAGCTGCTTTTTAACCCTCCCGCTGTCCTAATGGGTGTGACCCCGCAAGGATAGTTGGCCATTGAGCAGGATGGATGGTTTATCCCTTGGGTCCATGTGGCAGGAGTGAGCACCACCTCACCCCTGCAACATGGACCCAAGGGATAAACCAACCATCCTGCTCAATGGCCAACTATCCTCGCGGGGTCACCCATAAAGACAGTGGGAGGGTTAAATACTAAGCAATAATAATACAGCATTCATAACACCACAGCACGGTGCATGTAGCTTTAACATCAAACTAAATGTTTCTCATTAAGAGTCACTTTCAGCTATTGCTTTTAAACGAGTTGCAGTGGCTCTTGAGCCAGGAACTTGAGCAGCCTCAGATTGGACAGCACTTTGTAGTCCTCTGCTGAGCAAAAACTTCCCTTTACAGGTTTGTGGGTTGGGTAGGAGGGCTGGACCTGCTTGAATGAAAGAGCAGTTTACTGTGCTGGTAGTAGGGCTGGGAAATACATCTAAAATGTATTGTTATCTAAATTTCTGACTCTTATCCAGATAATTGTTCCCATGTCAATAAATCTGATAATAAAAAAATGAAAAGATGTGTGTAGGTTGGCAGCGTTCATGTCCCTTTAAGAAGCTGCACCACCTTGAGTGGTGTAAAAATGTGACTCAACGTAACACACGTGACAGCCCCATCTAGTGTGTCTGCGCGTACCTGTGGTTATCGTCCATTTATCATTATCGAGGTGAAATCCTCAATATATTGTGATATTGATTTAAGGCCATATTGCCCAGTCCTAGCTGCAGGGTATTTGCAGGTTTCAGGGAGCCAAATTAAAGACTTTTTAAGACCTTTTTTAAGGCCACTTTGACCAAATTGAAGCAAACTTTTTCAATTAAATTTAAGCTATAATTTCCAGCTATTGCCTGGAACCGGTACTAACCACGTCGCAAACCTGGGATTAGCCATCCAGTTACCATTGAACTTGCACTTCCCCACTAGCTTAACCAGCTAATGTGCTCATCTAAAAATAGCCGTCGTTGTCATCTTCCTCCACTTATCCGGGTCCGGGTCGCGGGGGCAGCATCCCAACTAGGGAGCTCCAGACCGTCCTCTCCCCGGACACCTCCACCAGCTCCTCCGGCAGGACCCCAAGGCGTTCCCGGACCAGAATGGAGATGTAACCTCTCCAACGTGTCCTGGGTCGACCCGGGGGCCTCCTGCCGGCAGGACATGCCCGAAACATCTCCCCAGGGAGGCGTCCAGGAGGCATCCTGACCAGATGCCCAAACCACCTCAACTGACTCCTATCGATCCGGAGGAGCAGCGGTTCTACTCCGAGTCCCTCCCGAATGTCCGAGCTCCTCACCCTATCTCTAAGGCTGAGCCCGGCCACCCTACGGAGGAAACTCATTTTGGCCACTTGTATCCGCGATCTCGTTCTTTCGGTCATTACCCAAAGCTCATGACCATAGGTGAGGATTGGGAAGTAGATCGACCGGTAAATCGAGAGCCTGGCTTTCTGGCTCAGCTCCCTCTTCACCACGACAGATCGGCTCAGCGTCCGCATCACTGCAGACGCCGAACCAATCCGCCTGTCAATATCCTGATCCCTCCTACCCTCACTCGTGAACAAGACCCCGAGATACTTAAACTCCTCCACTTGAGGTATGAGGTGTAAAAATAGCCCTCTTTCACAACCAACTGAATGTGTACGGTTCCGCTTACGCTAACATGGTACACAAAAAACGCTGAACACTAACTATAAATTCACAACAGTTTTATAGAAATAAAAGAATCTTGTTTATTGGGTCGTTGGTAATTTAAGACCTTTGGAAACTGTACTTAAGGATTATTTGTCATTTTTAAGGATTTTTAAGGCCTTAAATTTGGAAAAACTAATTTAAGACTTTTTAAGGACCCGCAGATACCCTGTAGCTGGTAGCTAATATAAAGGCTAGCAGGTAGCTTTTTCAGTTCGCCAACCATCAATAGAAAGCACGAGAAGCTTTCTTTTTTGTTTGCGTCATGGCGGAGCCTGGAAGCAAAGGGAAGAGAGGAATGTCTTTGGAGGCGAAGCAAAAAAGTGTGAACAAGACAAAGAGCTAAAACCAGAGTGAACGTCGGCGCGGCCTACACTCGTTGGTTTCCACTTCAAACCGACAAGTAGCAACAAAGTCCTCATTTTTTCTTTGTTTCTGAACTGCCACTAATCATGCATTCATAAAAACATGCTAAACACCACAACGTTATCTGCTAATCCTGCAGCAGGGCCGTTTACAATGTTGTAATTCTGCATTCAACCAGTAGGGGAAGAAGCGACGCACTTAGTAAGTGTTAGGTTAAATAGCTGAAACAGGATCTTAAGGATTTGCTTAATTCAGGCAAAACACAGAAGAAACAGTAAACTGAAAACATGAACGAGAGCATGTTTAACATACAATCAGAAGCAGCTGATCCATGCGCTCTAATACCCACATGCCTCAGTGAAGTTCAGTATCTTTCTCCAAATATCACAACAATGATCATCCCACAGGTAAATTTATACCGACTCTACATAAAGGGACAGCTCAGACTGCAGTTACACTTAAACCCCTGCAGCCAAAAACGACAAATGCAACGGTGGAATAAATCTTCCTGGTGAACTCGTCAGTTAACTCTGTCTGGGAGGGAGGAGAGGAGGGAAAGAGGGGAGCTCTTGCCTTGATGTAGTTGATGAAGCGAGTGCTGAGAGCCGAGTCTCTGTAGCTGTACTGTTCGTTCAGGGCTTCCGTTGGGCTCTCTTCAATCAGACGCAGCGAGTCAGAGTTTGGGTCTGCTGAAATCAAACAAATGAGATCTGTCAGAATGCTTAAAGTTGTGTTGGCAATCTGCAAAACAAAGCTAGCTTTTAAACACGGTCACAGAGCTCTCACCCCTCCTATTGGAGATCATCTGTAGGCCACGCCCCCCTCATAAGGGAATGTGTATTGCTACAGTGAACGAGATAGAGCTAACATCAGTCGTCATTTTCTAGGTCCAAATGTCTTTTGTTGTCCGTGACTTGGAATGGTGCTTTTGGGACTCTGGTAGTTTGTGGCTGTTTCTCCTTCTCCGGTATTAGTGAGCAGAGAGCCTCTCAGACCAGTGGTGTTCTGTTGCTAAATACACGAGTGTGCAATGAGTGGAGGGCTCAGACAAATGCACACATGTGGCAGTTTGGCGAGACAGAAAACCAGAGGGTCCAATAGTTGCTTTTGGTCTGAGTCACATTATTGGCTGAGGTTTTTTTTTAGACGAATGCAAGAAAACCACTTCCTTATATTTATAGCTATACTATGTTAGACTGTTGGTAAGAAGCATGAAAAAAATGTTTTCAGTTCATTTATTTTGCAGACTTGCCATTTAGCTTCAAGACATTTACATAACAGGAGCAGCATTACACCGAGTATCAGAAATGCACCAAAGCTGGTACCGGGCATCAGTCCAACACCACGAGTGTGTACTCTTACACATCCGATACTACAGGGCCTAGTGCTAGTGTGATGAGAACTTTGTGTCCTTCTACCAGACATTATTAGCATGCACACAAACACTAACCAAGTAAGTGGCGGTGAAGAACCATAAAATGAATGTAGAAGAGGAGGAGACATGCAGCAACGTGACTTTCAGCATCTGGGTGGCAGTGGAGCTACGTCAGCAGTGGGCGGGTGTTTCTAGATGTATGAACAAGACTAAAGGAAGGCCGACGGCTAATTACGTTTGTACTTTGGTGAAACGTACAGGTAAATGATGCTGTTGATGCTACTTTTAAAGATGCACATCCAGTAAAGTGAGTTTTGGCAAAATCAGAAAACGACGTGGTTCTATGTCAGTAGTTAGGGTAGTAAGGTACTAGTAAAAACACGTCAAGATTATTTCTGTTCTAATGAAAACCAACATTCCATTAGTTCATTTCACTAGTCCTCGTATGGGTACTTGGTATCAGTAAGTACTCAAATATAAGTAGCTGTACTCTGGGGAATTCTGGTGTCAGTGCATCCCTACTAAATAAAATCCTAGAATTTTCATGTTATCTAAATTAGAATCATCATTTTTACTGCTATAGAAAATAATGCTTATACACGTTTCCTTCCTTTAATCTCATCATGCTGCTAAAGCAATGAGAACTATCTAAAGTCATGTTCTGCTGTCAGACTCGGTTAATGTGACCCGCCATCAGCTTAACCTAATTAAAGTCTATTTAAACCGTGTGTCCTGGGAGCTGCTGCCGTTCTATTAGAACCCCACAGACCGTGACAGACAGATCATGGCTCTGGTTAGGGTGTTCAGTGGAGTTGGGATCTCACCAGCAGCAGACACAAGTTCTCTAAGGGCGTCAGAGATTTCTGCTGCCTTAAAACAACTTCATTTCACTCGATTCATAACAGATTTGAACACCACTGTTATATTCATAAGATGGAGCATTTGTCAGTCGCCTCCTCCGACTTTTGCTTTTCACTTCAAAAAGAATTTAGCTGCTTTATAATAATAATACATTTTATTTTAAAGCACCTTTCAGAACACCCAAGGTCACTTGACAGAAAATACGTTCAGAAAATACATTAAAACAGCAATAAAACCATAATAAAACGCAAAGAAGAAAAAACAAAGAGAGAAACAGTTCAATAAAATCAGAGGTTGTAGGCAGATTTAAACATGTGTGTTTTGAGTTTGGTTTTGAAAAGGGTAAAACTGTCGATGTTCCTGATGTCTGGGGGAAGTGAGTTCCAGAGACGGGGAGCAGAGCGGCTGAAAGCTCTGCTCCCCGTGGTAGTGAGACGGGCAGAAGGAACCGCAAGATGGATGGAAGAAGAAGATCTGAGAGAACGGGAGGGGGTGTTAATACTTATAAGGTCTGAGATATATGGAGGAGAGAGGTTATGGATTGCTTTGAGGGTATGGAGGAGAATTTTGAAGATGGACCTGAATTTAACTGGGAGCCAGTGAAGCTGCTGGAGAACCGGGGTGATGTGGTGAAAGGAAGGGGTTCTGGTGATAATACAGGCTGCTGAATTCTGGACCAGTTGCAGTTTATGAAGGAGTTTGTTGGGGAGACCATAAAGAAGTGAATTGCAATAGTCGATACGGGAGGTGACGAGGCTGTGGACGAGAATGGCGGCAGTGTGAGGGGTCAGGGAGGGGCGGAGACGGTTTATGGAACGAAGATGGAAGTATGCTGACCGAATTATGTTATTAATGTGAGCTTGAAAAGAAAGTGAGCTGTCGAGGATGACAACCAGACTCTTGACCTGAGGGGAGGGGGAGACTATGGCGCTGTCAATAGTTAAAGAAAAGCTGTCAGATTTGGAGATGGTGGATTTAGTACCAACTAGAAGAAGTTCAGTTTCATTGCCGTTGAGTTTGAGGAAATTAAAGGTGAACCATGATTTGATTTCTGAGAGGCAGAGTGTAAGGGAGGATGGTGGGAGAGTTGAGTTGGCTTTAAAATTACTGCTAGCAAAAAATCTACAAGAATTAAGATAAATGAATCATTGTTATACTAGCTGCTGATTTTAGCAACATCTGTTATTTAAGTAAAAGGGGGAGACATGTTTTATTGTGCTAATATACATTAGGGCTTGTACTATAAAGTGATAAAACTAGTATTTTTCCCAAGTGTATCATCCCTTCAGAAGCTCACAGCCCAAGCTTCAATCCTTTCAGGTGTCTGCCACTGCTGATGTCCGTCGTGAGAGCGCGTACCTGTCAGGGAGCTGATGTGTTCGCTGGAGTCGTCTTTACCGATTCCTTCCTCCTCTGTGATGTTGCTCATCGGGGCATTGAGACTCAGGCTGTCTTCATCTGATGGCTAAAATAAACACAAACCCAATTCAAATAACAGGTAGATCCTAAAAGCACAAATGACTGATGAATGTTATAATAATTATGATCATTATTTTTATTATTATGATTCTTAATAATAAAATTATGATTGATACTGAGAGCAGAGTTTGTAAATTAAAGTTTCACAGTTTCTATTAATAAACATTTTTTAAATGTGTACATAAACAACGTTGGACCTAAACATGCATGCGCACGCGCAAACACTTGCTACGTAAGTAAACGTGCACTACCTCAGTGGCAGAATGCCTCTTGTCCCCGTTGTCGCTGCCGACTCCTGAGTCGCTGTCCTGTTTCTTCTGCTGCTCTATGTCCTCCACACTGCAGACACATTACACAAGTCACATGCCTGAACACACACACACATGCACACACACATACACGCACACAGGAGGGGTGTGTGTGCTTAAAGTGAAAGAGACACACTGAAACGGAGGGCGGTCCCCTCTGGAGTGAGCTAGCTGTGTGATGGAACATAGAATCGAGGCGTCCTCAGACAATCACACCTCCTTTATTCTGGTAAAGTCTCTGTTTCACTTTTATTTGTTTGATTTCTCGGATCAGACTTTTATATAGAGCATCAGTCTGTTCTCGTGTCTCTCTGGACTGAGAAAGAGTCTGTCCTGTGACAAGAACAGCTGTTTGGTAAATAACACTTAAAAACCACAAAGGAAAGACTCTCTTGTCTTTCATTGTCTCTGCCGCTCTGAGAATAATTCATGAAACTATAAACGGTCTAATATTTGCTGAAATGCCACCAGCTTCCTGAGAAATGAGTCTTTAAAAGGAACATATGATCTGTCAGAGTCTCGGCGTTCCTTATAATTAGAGGTAAATTATTCCATAACATGGGGCGAAGACAGAAAAGACCCTTTCACTCAATCCTAGACTTTCTTCCAGGAACAGTTCAATCAAAAAGGGAGGAGCTTGACAATTTGGGGCAGCAGTAGCTCAGGTGGTAGAGCGGGTTGCCTCATGATCGGAGGGTCATGGGTTCGATTCCAGCTCCCGCCAGGGGTATCCTGCTGTTGTGTCCTTGGGCAAGACACTTCACCCAACTTGCCTGTGTTAGTGGTGGTCAGAGGGGCCGACGGCGCCAAATGGCAGCCTCGCCTCTGTCAGACCTCCCCAGGGCGGCTGTGGTTACAAGTAGCTTACCATCACTAGCAGTGTGTGAATGTGAGAGTGTGTGAAAGCGTCTTTGGGTGTCTAGAAAAGCGCTATATAAGTTCAATGCATCAATTTGGCAATTTAAAAAGCAAAGATAAAACCTTAGAATTAAACCTAAAATGACCTGGCTAAAAACGCAGAGAGATAACGTTGCAGCGATGCATTCATCGTAAGCAAACGGGCTGCAGCATCGGCTTCAATCAATCAATCAATGAATCAATCAATGAATTAACTTTATTTATATAGCACTTAATCCTGCAATACATGCAACTCAAAGTGCTTAACAAATTAAAAGGGTTCCACATTCCCTCCCATCCCCAGAATTTTTAAAACAGTCTGACAATAAAACCCCTTCACAACACTCCTCCACCGACACACACACACACACACCCACATGCCCCCTTCCCCATGGTAAAAAAAATAAATAAATAAAATAAACATGACTGACTAAGATCAGATGAGCCGGACCAGCTAAGGATAAGGAAACACCATCAGGGGAGCCATCCGCCCTGACAGCAGCAGATCCACAGCAGCAGCCGAGGCACTGACACCGGGCGCCCAGGGCAGGGAGGGCAGAGACCCCCACCTCCACCTAGGCACACATGGAAAGCACTCATGACCGCCACAGCCGACCACCGCTGCTGGGGCAGAGGGCTCCCACAGAGGAAACACTGGAAAAAGGTTAAATTAAGGTTAAAATATAAAATCCAAAGAGCTAAAATAAGAATTGTAATATAAAAAGTTATATAGATGTTAAAATAATGTTGATCATAAATCTATGGTAAAAAAAAAACTGTTTAAAAAGCATGTACAAAGAAAGAATACATTAAATCAATAAAATAAATAAACTAAGTAATTAATTCATTTAAAAAGTGAGAGTATTCAGTTAAAAGCTAAGCTAAAAAGCAACGCATCGAAGAATGATCTAACCTAGCATACAGCGATGTAACAAGTTATAAAGCATGAATCACAGCTCCACGAGCACTATACTTGTACACATGCATATAAACCCACAACCGCAGCGACCTGTTCATCGAGTTTAAAACCGCTATCTAAGAACTCCTGGCAACATTAAAACCACCCAACAGACTAGAGCTGCACAACTTTACGTCTGAGCGTCAACACAGGTGTGTGCAGTCGCAGGTCCTGCTGCAGTGTCGGAGGTAAATAAACTCAACATGATCCGCAGTTCTCCCGAAGGACAGCAGACATCAATAACAACACAAAAAAGTCTGACGTGTTGTGCAGAAACTGCTATTCTATTTTAGGTCCGGCGTGCAGCTACCAGACGAACAGTGTGAACACATGACTCTTGTGAACACATGACTCTTGTGATTTGCTCTGCGGGGAATTCGCACAGTGTGAGCTGAAGCTGAGAGAAAAAGTTGCACAGTGTCCGCCCGGCTTTACGTGTCAGCAGAGAGGTAACCCGTCACCCACTCGATCAGGTACGATGTCCATATTAGGGTTGGTGCTGCAAAAGTTGACCGAGGTTTTGATAAAAACTTTGTAATAAAGAGGTGCAAAGTATTTTGTTTTTTTTCTCAAAGGTTTTCAGACGGATGTGAGACTTCTTGTGGACAAACTATTTTTGGAGGACATTAATTGCACCCCTGTGGAAGGAAAAAGATGGATTTGTATGGTGAGCTGGATATATTTGATAAAAGTGTTTACTTTGTCTACAGCTATGTTGTATCCTGGACGATACGCAGCAGCTGCTGCAGAGCAGGACGCGTAGATAAAGGCGTGCTTGTAAAGCAGCCTTTCTCAAATGGGGGTACGCGTACCCCTGGGGGTACGTAAAGAAACTCCAGGGGGTACATCAGAGAAGCAGACTGTGTCTAAAAAGAGCTTGATCACAGCAGTTGCCTCCCTGCCACCAAGGATGAAAAAGATCCTCAGTGAAGCACAAGCCCAAGTGTCTCACTAAAAAGTCTGTAAAAACACTCCGATCAGTGCAGTAATGTTAAGATTTCAGTCTTCTTTTTGATTTTAAAAAATATATTTTGAGATTTACATTTGTTTTCAGCAATTGTTATTTAAAATGACGTTGATGATTTCTTTTAGAGAACAGATATACTATGATCCCAAAAGAGAACACTTTATGTTGATATGCTTTTTATGAGCACAAATCTTTAATTATAATTAGCTTAATCATTTCTTTGGCCCGTATTTGATATATATATATTTTAATATTCCTAGTTATATATATTTTTTTTTCAAAAAGTTCAAGAGATACTACAAAAAATGTGCAGTGATTTGCACATTTATGGATTTTTCAATGGGTAATCTTATGGTTTTAAATAGTTTTATGGTGACTGTTTTCAATTAATTAATTAGAATCACATTTTAGTGATGAAAAATATTTCCAATACATTTAGTTATGGAGTATTAACATTTAAAATGTTCAAAATAGTTTTTTTTCCCCCAAATGGTTGAATTTTGTACTTGTTTATCAGTTTCAAAGTTTAATAAATCAGTCACTGAAGGCACCTATTTAAGGTCTTGTTTTTTACAACCAAAAATGTTTTTGCGCTGATTAGGGGTACTTGGCTGAAAAAAATATTTCACGGGGGGTACATAAGTGAAAAAAGGTTGAGTACCACTGTTGTAAAGAGTATAAGGTTACCTCAATTACACGGGCCTGGTTTGGAGTCGCATGGTGAGCAGAACAACAGTAAAATACGCCGGGTAAGAGTAAAGTCGCATTACCGTTAGCAGCTCATTAAGCCAAATCCCTTTAATGGTGTTGGTTTACCACCACATGAAGAACTCGAAACTTTCTAACTTTTTGGAAATCTCCTGTGATTTAGTTTTCCCTCACAGACCTTCCCAGTTTCGGCTGCTTGTCCCGAAAATTAAAAAGATCTGGTGACCTCCCTCCCTCTCTCTTGCTCGCTGTGCTGGTGGCGAGCACCGTATTGGGTCAGACCTATGCAAGGTATGGGGGCCAAAATGAAGACTACTGCCCAGCAGCAGGAGGCTATGCAAATTCCGAAGCAAACTACTGATCTGATTAATGATAAACTGGCGCCGGTAACTGAGAGGCTGTCGCTGCTTACTGAGAAATAGCACCTTTACCGGCGTTATTACTAGATACGCTAGGGACTAGCCGCCCTCGGCTGGTCATTGACTGGTTCACACACGCCCTCTGCTGTCTATTAGCATGGATAGGCTAGCGTTAGCCTGGACGGGTTGGTGTTAGCATTGGAGAGTGTTGTGGTTATTAGCCAACAAATAATTTGTAAGCTTTACTTACTCTTTCGATTCATCAATACAATTCTTAAATATGGAAAAATTTACAGATTTATTACGTAATTAGAATATCCGTGGATATGCCTCTGGGCACCACCCCTTTAATAGGGGAAAAATGAATCCAAACCTGTATCGATCTGTCTAAAGTTCGTAAAATTCTTTTAACGAGCAGCGGTCATATTCTATCCAACACAGACAAATTCACTTGAGACAAAACTTAATTGGCAATAACATTTCTTAACTAATATAATCACTTCAGCTCCTTCAAAGTGCTAGCCAATCAATATCAACCAACTGATTTTATCAAACAAACAACAAGCAATGAAACCATGGAATGATAATGTGAAATAACAATCTAATCAGACCGGTGGGGTGAGATGATGATGTGATCCAGCAATAGTGAGGCTGCTTGATGATGTAATCAGGCAGAGATAGGCTGATTACCAAACTGGAGGGAGTTTTGAAACAAAATGGCAGATCCTTTGTTTGGCTGACCAAAGGATCGAACTCTGTGTGTGTGTGTGTGTGTGTGTGTGTGTGTGTGTGTGTGTGTGTGTGTGTGTGTGTGTGTGTGTGTGTGTGTGTGTGTGTGTGTGTGTGTGTGTGTGTGTGTGTGTGTGAGCAAACGTTCACAGTAAACTTAATCAAAACACTTCAAATCGCTTTACAAAGATAAAAAAATCAACAGATCAGTCATAAAAGCAAATCACATATCTGAACAGTCTGTCAGCCTGGCCACAGCATGAACAAACTTAGATATTAAACAATAAAAGGAACGGCTTACTTTGACATGATCCATTGGCGTTTTTAGAGCGGAAGAGAGAAACCGTTTGTTATTTTAAAGCAGTCACATGGTCGACCGCTTGTTTCGGACTATTAGAGAAGCGGGAGAGAAAGAGAGAGATAAAAAAAGGAAAAAAAATCTTGAATGAACGAACACAAGGCGTCCCTCGGTGTCCGGGGCTGAGCAGATCACATGGCGTCAGCAGCTAGGCCTCAGCACACGCTGTCTGGAGCGGTAAGAGCAGAGGTGGGGGGGTCTCCTTTCACCAGATGAACTGGACGGGAAGAGGGTGATTTCCACTCTGCGCCTTGGCTTTATAGACTCGTCCAGCGGGCGGTCCCTGTATGGGCCGATATCCACTGGCGGCGTGTCAGACTTGGAGTCGCTTTATGACGTCATCAAGCTGCTGCCGGCTGCAGAGGACCATGGGACATGGAGTCCCTGCTGGCGCTGATATCAATATCCTTTATTGCCCAAGCTTCAGGGCGTAGATGGCACAGTCCTTTGGAGAAAATACTGCGTAGTAATTTTCTCATGAGGGCAGGACCCCAACAGAGAGGCTAGCCATTAGCGTGCCTAGACGTGCCACTAGCTGGATTTCCTACCCCGTTGACGGACCTTAAACATGTATAGGCTGGCATTAGCATCGGAGAGCTAGCCATTAGCATGTCTCAGAGAGTCACTAGTCAGCTAGGCACGCTAATGGCTAGCCTCTCCTATGCTAACGCCAGCCTATCCATGCTAATGGTCCGTCAAGGGGGTAAGAAATCCAGCTGGCCCTAACGCCAGGAAAAATACACACTGTCACTTGAATGTACACACAGCACCCCATATTGACAGAAAAACACAGAATTTTAGACCCTTTGCTGTGACACACATATATTTAACTCAGGAACTTTCCATTTCTTCTGATCATCCTTGAGATGGTCCTACACCTTCATTGGAGACCAGCTGTGTTTGATTTTGTGTGGATTATACTGACTGGACTTGATTAGGAAAGCCACACACCTGTCTATATAAAACCTTACAGCTCACAATGCATGTCAGAGCAGATGAGAGTCATGAAGTCAAAGGAACTGCCTGAAGAGCTCAGAGACAGAATTGTGGTAAGGCACGGATCTGGCCAAGTCTACAAAAACATCTCTGCTGTGCTTAACTGGAGAGGATCTGCGAGGAGGAATGGAAAAGGATCCCCAAATCCAGGTGTAAGAAACATGTTGCATCTTTACCCAAAAGACTCATGGCTGTATTTGCTCAAACGGTGCTTCTACTAAATACTGAGCAAAGGGTCTGAATTAGGGCTGGGACATGATTAAAAAATGTAATCTAAATTAGAGGCTTTGTAATTAATTAATCTAAATTAATCGCATTTTAATTGTTCGAGAAAATGTGCTCTCAAGCAAACTTTTAATTAAAATTATGAGACAGAGAATCAAACATTAGACATGGTTATTACTGTAAACTAAAGCTTTTAATAAAAAAATGCATTTTAATTATTCATATGTCACTGTGTGATATGAAACAAAACCCAAATCAACTAAAATGTATAATTACTAATAGAAAACACCTGCAAACGGTTCCTGAGCCTTTAAATAGTCTCTCTGTCTAGTTGAAATACTGAAATATAAGTAAAGTTAATAATCAACTTCTCCTTCAGTGATATTCGGTCTACGAGGAAGTCATGCAATGACAAAGGTTCCGCCTTGCTTGAAAGGCAAGCTGCGATTAAATGCGTGAATTTTTTTTACGCGTCATTTTTTTCTAATTAATTAATCATAATTAACACATTAAAATCCCAGCCCCATGAATAGTTAGAGCCATGTGATACTTTCCATACCCACTGTGCATGTCATGTTGGTTACCTAAACTGATCATTTTTTCTTTATGTGAGGGTGGGAACCTGCATATATTGCTACTGGTTTATATCGGTATTGGAAATTAAGAGTTAGATTATATTGGTATGTCATATATTGGTAACAAAAAAATAAAGCCTATTTTGAACATTGCTAATGTTGAAACTGCAGCATCACAGAGAGAGAGAGAGAGAGAGAGGAAGAAGCTGGACAGGTTGATAAAGACGTCCAGCTCTATCCTGGGCTGTCCTCTGGACTCAGTACGAGAGGTGGGGGACAAGAGGGTGGTGGACAAACTCAGATCAATGCTGGACCATGAGTCACATCCCCTGCAGGACACCCTGTCTGCTCTAGAGAGCAGCTGCAGTGACAGACTGATCCATCCTCACTGTGTGAATGAGAGATACCGCAGGTCTTTCCTTCCTGCCGCTGTTAAGACTCTTTAGTATGGAACCCATACATCTGTAATATTCCACTACAAACATCATCACCGACATGTGCAGTTTCACTACTACTACTACTATTGTTATTATGTGCAATAATTATTTACAATTATACTCTCATGTGATGTATTTTGTGTGCTACTACTCTCTCTCCTTGAGCTGTGGCAATGATGCAATTTTCCCACTGAGGGACACATAAAGGTATTCTTATTCTTAATAGTAAGAGATGTTGGCCACTGTTATGGCTTTATAGCTGAGTTTTAAATGATTAGAAGAAAATGCTAATCTATGAACATAAAGACTTTTCAAGACTAAAACAAACAAGAGGAAAAAACACATTTTAGCCGGGAAGGAAACAATGACACTCCCTCTATGACTGACCTGCCCGTGGTGGGACGTGTTAGGCCAGGGCGCTCCATGGCTGGCAGGTACAAAGAGTCAGGCATCTTCGCCTCGATGCTTAGATACTTGAATATGTGAACTTTACCTTTTATACAGATCTGAAAGGGAAAACAAGTCCAAGAAGCGTTCAACAGGAGACCTTCAAACATTTTTTAACCCTCCCACTGTCCTAATGGGTGACCTCGCGAGGAAAGTTGACCATTCAGTCCTGCTCAATGGTCAACTTTTCTCACAGGATCACCCATAAAGTCAGTGGGAGGGTTAAAAAAATTGATCCACAGATCCATGCAGCTACCTGTGCAGGTGGACTCTGCAGCGGGTTGTTCTCCAACTGGAGTGACTGAAGCTGTTTCATTTTTCTGTAGCACACTGGAATGGTGGACACCTTGTTGCAGGAGAAATCAAACTTCACCAGAGGAAGGTCAGCCAGGTCTAGAGGAAAGCAAAAACACAGAAAGGATGTTTAGCTTTGGACATAAGAAAGAAAATGCAATGATCAGCAGCCAATAGGATTGACAAAGATGAGTCAGAGGTAATAAATTTTACTGATTCTGTTTCCACAAGAATGTAGATTACACTGCTAAAGGTTTTACAGACCTAAACATCTTTAGTGGCTTAAAAAAAACAATAACCAAATGAGTCCAAGACATTAAACAGATCAAATATAAGACAGATGGTGAAGTCTGGGAAATCTGAGACAAGGGGACTAATATTTTTAATAGTCCTGGAGCTTTGACTTTACTCCTGAAGCCCAAATTAAAATGTCCCAAGGACACTTTCCTTCTCTCAAGGAAAAAGTCTCTTTGAATTGCTCACAAAGCTCTTAGACATTCTGAAGCCTTTAGCAAATACAAATCCTGGAAGTGCTTGCGGAAAAATTGGTCTTGGACACTGTAGTTCACCTGCTGATTCCATCTCATTCTGCTTTTATCCTTATCTGAAGTCAAGGCATGAAGGTCACAGATCCAGGAGGTAATTCTATTCATTCCTTTCCATAGTGCTACTTCCCATCTTCTCCTGGGAGATCCATGTGTGTCCCCAGGACAGAGAACATATACAGTCCCCACTGTGAGTCCTGGCTCTGTACAGGGTCTCTTCCCAGTGGGACATGCCTGGAAAACATCCTAAACAGAAGCCTGAACCACCTCAGCTAATTCCTTCCAATGAAATGTCCCCTGAGACACCAATACCAGCATGTCTCAGGAGACAGGAAACATGTCATGCTAAATGTGTCTCAAATAGCACAGGTATTTAAGAATAAGATTGTTTTTGCTCTGGCAATAGTCTAGTTAAACATAGGCAGTCTTTCCCTTAAATGTAAAGGATTGTGTTGTTGTAGATTCTCAACCAGGAGGACAGGACCACCTTCAGCATTTTTACTTTACTGGTTATCTTGAAAAGATGTGTTCAAGATCACCAGAAAGGTTCTGCTGCTTTCACTTTAAATTCAAGAGAAATGCAAGTGGCGTGAGCAAACTCCTAACCCCTGAGCCACCGTCGCCCTTCGTGTGGGGCTCGACACGCGGGAGGCGATACGCGTTCTGTTCCATGGCGAAATCGAAACTTCCGTAGTTTTGTTTGGCTGTGTCAGGTTGGAGGGAATTAAGGTTATTTAAGCGGTTCAGAGTTAAAAAAGTGGTAGATATGATGTTTCACAAGGTGCTGCTAGATTTATGTGAAATCTTACTTCTGATTTTACTGTATAAAACATAATAGTAATCAACTTCTCCTCCATGTTTGCTCGGAGGTGTACGGAGCATCCTGCCCGCTCATTGGTCAGTGAATGAAACCTCCGTTGATTGGTCCTCGTCCGAGCGACAGCAATGAAAAGTTGAAAATGTTTCAACTTTCTGGGATCGCATCGCTGGATCGTCTGTGCACGACACGTGCACGAGCGAAAAATTTCACACGCACGTTTTTCGTGTTTTGCTTAGTAGGAGGGAGACCCGCGATTATCGCTTTGTCGCGCATGTCTCATTGAAAATGAATGGAGGAGAGGCGACGTCGCCTCCCGTGTGTCGAGTCCAAGACTGTAAACACTGCAGGGCTCCTTTTGAACTGGCATTTCATTAAAACCAGATGCTCAAACTCAAAATGCTAAATTTGAAGCGCTTCAGGAGATGTTTTAACCCATAAAATTATTTGTGGAGTAACTAAAAATATTCTGCAGTATTTAAACAAAATCAGACTTCCAACCTTCAGAACCATGGATGTAATTTTCACTTTAGGAGGGGAAGGGGACACGGGGGGTGGGGGGGGGGGGGGGTGTATCTTCACAGTATGTTCTAATGGGAAACAGGCTTCAACACAAACGGTTGTTTTCCGCTTGGTCCTAGAGCTCAACCATTGTCAATTTAACATAGCGTAACATTGTTTTGAGGGGAAAAAGTGCAGGGGTCAAAACTTGACTTTGGAAAAAGGGGGGGGGGGGGCATGTCCTCCCATCCCCCACCAAAATCACATCCATGCTCAGAACTCGAGACTACTTGGGTGTTTCCCTCAAGAAGGAACAATGAAGCTGTTGTTATGTAGCTTTGTAGTTGTGAACAGCAGAGCCTCGCGTGGCATTTGTTCACTATAAAGAGGAAATACACTCGGTATTTCAGTAAGTCTGCTGTGGTCTCCCGTATGGATGAATGCTTTCCAAGTCGTTTTCTGTGGGGGAAAAACTCTCACGCTCCTGTTTCAGGAAGTAGAAGTTAGTTGGTGGAGTGGGGATGGAAAATGGCGGGAATTGTCTCACTAATATTCATGATATTGAAACATCCCGCCTCTTACTGGATAACAGCAACATGACTCTTTTGCTGCCACCGATTTGCTCCTTTACTAGGTAAAAAAAGCAACATTGATGTTTATCTCCACAAATAACACAAATCTGGAGGAGTTCTGCTCTGTGGTGTAGTTGCTAATGCTAACATTTAGCTTCTACTAGTCGAGACATTCTCTGTAGTTTTCTGGACGCTAAACCACCAACAGCCTTCCCCGTTGCGAGCTAAGATGGGAGAGTCCATGAAAGTTAAGTGACACTGACATAGATCTGACTGGCTTTTCTAATCCGAGTGCTGTCTTGTCTATTTCCTGCTGCAGGCTAGTTTCAAGTTCAGCATGGCCGATGATATTTATAAAAGAACACGTATTATATGTTGAACCTTTTGGTTTATTGAATATAACACACCTGATAAACCCGGAAGCCTTTGGAATACGAGTACAACGGATCACCATTGATCAGCGATCTGTACGGATCTCTCTCTACGATTCAGCACGCACGCGGTTCACAGATCGGTCATGTGCATGGCAGTGTAGCATCATGAATGGCCTCTAATTTGCGAACCAAAGGTCACATTTTCCCAGCTGGGTCAAGTTGGGTCAAACTGTAACTTTGTCCCACAGATTAACCCGCCAGGAGCCGTGATGTCTGCTGAAACACCATCTTTATCTGCTGCTGTTCTGTCCCAAGATGAAGGACACTTCAAGATTTTACAATAGTAATTTTAAATAATAATTTTAATAAACTCTTTGACTTTATTACGGTTTATTACAATCATCATAAATAATCTCTTGGTTCAGTATAAATGTATTTAAATGACTGAAATGACTTATTATGCTTTGTGTAATAATCATTATTATTATGACGGTCAGTAATGTGTGTTCAGTAAACCAGAAGGTCGTTTGCACTTTAACCACTTCATGCAGAGGGTGAATCCAGGGTAGAGTTTAACCACCTCACATGTCTTTATTCATGACAACAAGCTTTCTGACGCTGAGAGGGGGTGTTCTGAGGTTTTGTTAAAACCAAATCTCCTGCAGCCCAAGCCAGTTCTTGAACCATACCAGGGGACGAGGGACAGCCGCCCGAATCTCTACTAAGCATTCTGTCACGCCGACAGACTTGATTCGAATAAACGCAACCGTAGCCAGCTGACACAAAACTCCTTCAGAGTTAAGCCAGACGCTCAACACCGTGTACCCTGCGACATCTTTGGACCAGAGAGTCGGTTCCACTCGGGTCTTCCCTACCGGACTGAGTACCCAAAGGCTGACAACATCCTCCTGTGACCTCCGGATCCACATAAAGGGTCGTCTGTTGGGTGAGGTAGCACACAGACGGTGTCCGATGCAGTTTTCTCTAATAAACAACTGAGTTAGCTGCAAAACCAACTTTTCACCCAGAACGCGCTTCTCTCTCTGACAGAAACCTTCTGAGATTCCTTCACGCATCCAATACCTCGTATTTCATTTTAGTTCCCATTCAGTCACAGGTTTGCTCATAAAACAAGTTTTAATATCAAATTGTCTGTTAAAAATTGTCATTTCTAAATTGTCATTTCAAATTGTCATTTTTAAAAGTGTTAGTAATAAATTCTTAACTTTTTAATGACTCTTCTTTGAAATGAAACACAGAATGGTTTATATATATTTGGTTATTGAATAAGCAAAGATTCCTTTAAACTTCTGATTCAATAAATAAACTTTTGCTATTACATTTAATTATCTTAAAATTAGAATTTAATCTTTGGATTAAAAATAGACCAAGCTCGTTGGCATATGAACTTCTGTCGAATATATAATATCCTAGATATTTATAAATGACAGAAGCTTCATTTGTTAACTTGTTTGATCTTTTCTCAGGATCTAACCAAACTGATAGCAAACAGTGTTAAATCCTACTATGTAGTTAACCACGCTACAGCGGAGGCGCTACCTGTTCCATCTAAAGGAGAAACGCACAGCGGTGGGCATGGCAGAGGAGGACAGGAGCTTGAAAAACCCCTGCATCATTAAAATTGCATGTAAGGGAGCATTTAGGCTGCCCAGTAAAATACAGTGATGATACAAACGGCAAAAATGAACATGCACGCGCCTCCAGCCTGACGGCGCAACGCTGCACACACCTCCAATTGCTGTGAAAGACGAGAGGGGGTGGTGCATCACGTGAAACATGTCTTGGACATAACATAAACGTGGTGGGACCTGTATTATTGTTGGAGATAAATCTGTAAAAGAGGAGAAATAAAAATAAACAGCGCATCAGAAAGGGGAGGAGACGAGTGAAAAAGGGAACAGGAAGGAAGAGTGTGTTTATAGGGCAAGCTGTTTTAACATTTAATCAGCAATCAGACCTCTCTGTAACTCCTACTTTTAGAGCAAGTTGCTAATTGAGCAAAAAAATGTTTCACTGTGTCCTACATGATGGTAAATGGTAAATGGCCTGTATTTGATATAGCGCATTCTAGAGTCCTGGAACCCCCAAGGCGCTTTACAGCACAATCAGTCATTCACCCATTCACACACACATTCACACACTGGTGGGGATGAGCTACGATGTAGCCACAGCTGCCCTGGGGCGCACTGACAGAGGCGAAGCTGCCGAGCACTGGCGCCATCGGTCCCTCAGACCACCACCAGCAGGCAATGTGGGTTAAGTGTCTTGC